CGACCAGTGCTGTGGCTGGTGTCTGCCTGACGCCACAAAGCAAGCCAGAATGCTGAGACGGTATGGGAGATCTGGACGAGTGCAAGTCATCAGGTACATAAGGCAACCCACAAGCACTGCGTAAGGACCACTGGGTTCGACTGACTCCTCAGGAGTTGGAGCAGAGAGCCTGTGGTCTACTGGAAGAGGTGTGGGCTGCGCAGAGGAGAACTGAATACCGAACCTCTGAAGGACCTGGTGCACCAAGTGTGACCGTGTGAGAGTAATGGTGTGTGCTGCTCTGTCCCTGGAGATCTGCAGGTCAAGGTAGTAGCGCAGGTGTGTCTCTTCAAGAGCTCGGCCTTCACGAAGGCCAGTGCATCTCTGTTTGCCTAGCGAAGACCAAGTCGTCTACAAAGACAAGGATGTAGAACAGGGTCTGGCCAGCATGAACGAAGAGCGAGGGGTCTGCAGACGACGGAAAAGACTGCAGGTCAGCTAACGTAGCACGCAGAGTGTCGTGCCACTCACGAGGCGCCTGTCACAGGCCGTAGACCAGGCATCGGAGGAGCCACTTGGTCACATGGGGGAAGGTACCAGTGAAGCCTTGTAGGTGATGTAGGTAGACCTGCTCGTGTAGGCTGCCCTGAAGGAAAGCAGTAGAGAAGTCGAGAGAGTGGTGCTCGTAGTCACGCTGCGCTGCTACGTGTAACAGCGCCCGAAGAGTAGTCATCTTCGAGGTCGGGGCGAAGGTCTGAAAGAAGTCCACACCCTCGCGGTGACTAAAGCCTCTAGCCACGTAGCGTGCCTTGAACATAGATGGCTCTCTAGGGGGGCGCTTCACCTTGAAGAGCCACCAGCCATCGACTACGTTCACCCCAGGCGGGGGAACTGCGTCGATGTAGGTGCCGGTGGATCTCCAAGATGCCATCTCTTGCTCCATGGCAGCTATCCATTGTGAGGCCTAGGGTCCCGAGGTCGCCTCAGCGTAAGTGCGAGGGGTCGGGATGTCAAGGTCGTCTGGGTCACCCTAGCAGCATGGAACGGAGATGGGGAGCGGCCTCAGACAGGAAAGCGACCTCGTACTGCCTGTCCTCTACGATGTCACTGCCAAGGGCAGGAGCACCCCCGACGGACGGAGGATCGACAGGGTCAGAGACCAGAGCAGTGGCGTAGTCAAGGCGGTGGGTAGAGGCGAAGTCAGCGATAGCAGCGACAAGAGCGTCAAGACTGGCGACAGGAACAGACGGGTCGATAACGAGGGAGGTAAGGACCCGAGGAACAAGTGGACGAGAGGCACAAAGGTAGTCAGACATAGGAGGCGGTGCGACAACGAGCGACGACGGAGGAGGCGAAGGCAAGAGGAGAGGACGAGACGCGTGGGAACGAAGCAACATAGGGTGAGAATGCTAAACAGGAGAGACAGGACAAGCACGAGAGGGACAGCGAGGCCAGAAGTGGGGCGGAGGCGTCGGGCCAGGAGACACAGGAGGGGTAATAGGAGGGAAATGAGGGGGAAAACGAGCTAGGGACGAGTCCGGCGGAGGGAACACAGTGCCGTAGACAGGAAGGGGAGGAGGGGGAGGGGGAAGCGCAAGCGAGCGGTCGGGGGAGGGAAGGCCGAGTAGGCGAAGGGAGGACACCGGCGGCGACTGTTGCTGCTGCTGCTCGATGCCAACACCTGGACCGCCAGCTGCACCACCGCTACCTCTGAAACACTCCACTCCTGCACCCCCATAAAGAGCACCCCTAGAGCGAGAACCGTCTCCAGCACCGGTGCCACCCCTAGGCCTGTCGGGACAAGCCACGATATGAACCCCACGACTAGCACCCTCCTCAACGCCAGCACCCTCTGCCGTCGCAGCAGCCGCCGCCACCGCAGCAGCCGCAGCTGTCGTCGCAGCCACAGCCGCAACAGCCACCGCCGCCGCAGCAGCAGCAGCCGTTCGACACCGGGGAAGAGGCAGGTGGCGAGAACTGTACTGTGGGGCCACCAGAGTCAGCCGACTCCTCGTCCAGGACAATCGACAGGAGGGGAGTGACGTGAGTCACACCAAACGGAGCAGGATGGGGAGGGAGGGGAGCAAGGGCTATCGGGGGAGTGGGAACTAGAAACAGGGGCGGGGAAACCTGAAGACTTCGGTGGGGAAAGCGGTGGTAAAAGGAGACAGACTTGTCGAAAGAGGCGTCACGGGAGTGAAAGAAGCGGTGAGACGGCGTGTAGTAAAAGTGGCAGTCAGATGAGTTAAGGGGGAAATTGAGGAAGACACAGGGGACAGTGCGGGCAGTGAGCTTGTTTGTGCCAGAGGCACGAACGTGAGCGAGGCAGCCCTAGACGTGGAACGCGGACGTGTCACCATGGAACCCGGTCCAAAGAAGGGTCGGTGAAACCTGCGGCCGCTGGGAGTGCGGCCACAGGTTGAGCTGGTGAGCGGTGTAGCGAATGGTACAGGCCACAAAAAATGGGGTGCACCGGCATGGATCATGGAGGTACGAGCCATCTCCATGACCAAACCGATGCGTCACTCAGCGACCCATTCTGCTGCGGGGAGTCCAGTAGGGTGTACGACTGGGTGATGCCCTCCGCACGACAGAACTGTCCAAGCCGACCAGAGGCGAACTCGCCGCCATGGTCGGAGTGGAGACACAACCCGGGGAGACCGCGGTGGAGGCGTGCGGCTACGACCCACGGGATAAGAACGTTAGGCACGTCGGTCTTCCGTGCCAAGGGAAACACCGTGGTATAGCGCGTGTAGTCGTCGACGAGCACGAGAAAGTAGCGCTCGCGACGCGGCCCAGGGACGGGGGCTGGGCCCCATACGTCCAGGTGGAGGGTCTGGAGTGGCACGGTGGCAGGGCGAAGTGAGGAGGAATGTGGAGCATGGCGCAGCCAGCCCTCAACGCAGGGCGTGCACGGCGGCGTAGGAGAGGGAGGGATGGCAGGAAGTGACGCAGGGAGAACTAGAACGAGACCGAGCTGAGACATGTGACGTAGACTCGGAAGTGCGGGGTGACCTAGGCGATGGTGCCACAGAAGCGACGGGTGAGTGAGCGACCGACACAAGCAAGCCGCAGCGACCTGGGTAGACATTGGACCTTGGGAGGACACGCCCACCAGGGGGGAAGCAACGTCCAGCGTAAACATGCCAGACGCCGGGTCCCGGGAGAACGTCGCAAGGGGGGCACCTGAGGCGGCCTCGGTACATACAGCGTACCGCTCGTGACCAGGGAACGTAGTGGTGACGCCGAGGTCCTGAAGGCAGCCGACACCAACTATGTTCCTTGAAAACGAAGGGATGTGCAGGCCCGTAAGAGAACCCCAAGGGAACCTCTACGGAAGGGTAGTGTAGCTACAAGCAACAACAGGACCAGATGAGGGGTCAGCAAGTGCGACGGCGGGAGGCGCGGCAAACGGCGTGAGTGTGCTGTGGTCGTGGAAGAAGCAGGCAGACGCACCGGAGTCAAGTGTAATGGACAGCGAAGCAGAAGCGGCAGCCGAAGGAGGAGCGAGTGTGGAGCCTAAGCTAGACAAGGCAAAAGGTCCTACGCCTAATGCAGCAGGGGAGTTTGAACTACACACAGGTACTATACCTAAACTAGATAACACAGGGTAATTAGATCCGGGCACACTAGAAGCATCAACATACAGAGAATGCAGGGCAGAACTAATCCGATCCATGTCTAACTCAAAGACCGGCACACTGTGGCGCAGTAGGCTGGGCCAGTCAAGGAGGTCCGAGGCCGAGCCGAAGCGGCGACGAAAGAGGTCGTCGAGGCGGAGGAAGCAGCGGGCGATCGGGTGCGGGTGGCGGCACACAGTGTCGTGGAGTGGGCCGGTCTGGAGCTGGTACTGGTAGCTCACAAGACCGAACCTGCCAGCCGATGCCGAGCTGCGAGGGCTGCCACCGCGGCCACCACCTCCTGAGGCTCCTGGCCACCCCCGGCGGGAGGCGGGCCCACGGCTGCTGCTGCTGCTGCTGCGGCTGCTGCTCTGCGTCATGCGACTCCTAGACAGAGCAGGCAAGCTCGGCAGCGGCGAAGGCCTCACGCTCAGCATGTGTGGGGGCGGCAGGGAGGGCAGCAGACGGGTCGGGGCAAGGGAGCTTACCATTGATGTGGAGGGCCAGGGATTGGCCGTCCTGGCGCTGACCCTTCAGCTGGCAGCGGAGTTTGGCGAGCCACGCCTCAAAGTCGACCGCCCGACCCTTTGCGTCCAGACAGAGCACAACGTCCGCGATAACCACGGCTGCAGGAGCTGACGACCGCTGGAGGAGGAGGAGAATGGTGGAGAGTGGTGGAGAGCAGTGGAGAACGGTGGAGAGCAGTGGAGAGACAGCCGGCGGACGCACCGGCTCAGAGGGGAACCAAGGCCGACGGCGAGGAGGTCACGCGGCACGGCGGTACGGCGCTACGGCGATATGGCGGCACGGTGGCACGGTGGTACGGCGCCACGGCGGCACTGCGGCATGGCGGCACGGCGCGAACTGGGGCCGGCGAGCGAGGGCTAGCGAGCTGGGGCCGGCGCGAAGCCAGCGAGCGAGCTAGGGCCGACGAGGTAGGACTGGCGAGGGAACCGGGGCCTGCGAGCAAGCTAGGCCCGGTGAGAGTGGTGGTGGCGAGCTGGGGCCGGCGAGCTGGGGCCGGCGAGCTAGGGCTGGTGAGCTAGGGCCGGCAAGCTAGGGGGCCACGCTGCGAAAAAAAGGGGCTCGCACGGTGCGCGAAGGGCCAGCGGCGAGCTAGGGGCCAGCGAGCGTGCTAGGGGCCAGCGGGCGAGCTAGGGGCCAGCGACGAGCGAGGGGCCAGCGGCGAGCTAGGGGCCAACGCGGCGGGCTAGGAGCCAGGACTGCGTGAAAAGGGCGGGGCACGCTCTAAGGGGCGGGGCGAGCTAAGGCCAGCGCGGCGAGCTAGGGCCAACGCGGCAAGCTAGGGTCAGTGCGACGAGCTAGGGGCGAGCGCGACGAGTTGAGGGGCCAGCACGGCACGTCGGCGCGGATAAAACTCCGAACATAATTGACGAACCCTAAAAGATTTTGCAGCTCGTGCAGGTTCTTAGGCAGTAGCCAGGCTTGCACTGTCTTGATTTTGCGCGGGTCCACTTCGACGCCCTTGGTAGAAATAATGTGTCCCAGAAATTCGAGGCGGTCTTTTAAAAACTCGCACTTGGACCCCTTCGTGAGCAGCCGATGCCCCTGCAGTAGCGTGAAAAATTGCTTCGAGGTCCTTTAAGTGCTTCTCCCGGGTCTCGCTGTGGATCATGATATCGTCTAGGTAGAATATAACACACCTATCTATGAGTGAGCTGAAGATCTGGTTCATGGTCATTTTAAAAGTTGCCAGGGCGTTCGTCAACCCGAAGGGCATAACTTCATACTCGAAACTCCCATACCTAGTACGAAATGCAGTCTTGTGACACTCAGCTGCAACTACACGAATCTGAGAGTAACCCCCTCGTAAATCTATTTTGGAGAAGAAGCGAGCTTTGCGAAGTTGGTCGATGAGTTCGTCGGCGCGCGGGATAGGGTAATGCGACTTAATAGTCACCCTATTCAGTGCTCTGTAGTCGGTGCACATTCGGTACCCGCTAACTTTCTTCGGGGTGAACACTATGGGGGCGGCAAATGGCGAGGAGCTCAGACGGATGATTTTTTTCTCCAGTAAGTAATCTTACTACTTCCGTAATTCCTCTAACTCCGGCTGTGTTAATTGAAATTCCCGCTGCACTGTGGGCTGTGTCCCTGATTTTAATTTTGATTCGATGGTCAAAGGGCCATTCCGGTGGTAATCCCTCGGGCAGGTCGTCTGGAAATATATGCGGGAATCTGAGAATCAGCTGCGCTAAATCGGCCGGCACTGCTGCTGTCAGCTTCTCGAAATCGGACGGTTGCAATGTCACGTCGATGGCGCGAACGACTACAGCGATTACTTCCGCTCTTCGTGCGACCACTCGTTTGATCACCACAGAGTTCACTTGTGCCACTCCCCCTATGATCTCTTCGACCATTCTGGTAACGTCACACTGCGACCGTTGATCTTGACGGAACAGCTACAGGTCGTCCACTCAACTTTTGGGTTGAATCGTCGCAGCCGATTTCGTCCCAACAACATATCGAAGCCATCGAGTGTAGTTGCCGGCATTCCCATAAAAAAAATTGAAGTCAGCTCCACAACGTACCCTAATCATCTCCGCCCTATCTTTTATTGCAAGTGGGTTCCATCGACTAGTCGGGCGTCAATCTCTGGTTGACACCTATCTAAGGGTAACTTCACTTTTTTTGCCGTGGCGAGGTTGATCAGACTGTTGCTGGCTTCTCCATCCACGAAGACTTTGATTTTTTTCCCTTGAATCCTATCCTCTAAATAGATAGGGTAATCCGGATCTGCACCCTCCTTATTCAACCGAGTTTTGTCGATTGCGTGGATCGGTACCAGTACTCGATGAGGGCCATCGGTCACGGGCGAGCAGGTTCCATCAGTAGTAGCCCTGTTAACTACTGATACTAAGTGTTTCTCTGATCACTGGAACTCCCCTGCCCCTAATTCCGCTTCTTCCGCTCCTCTGGGCATTCTGAATTGCGGTGTCCCGGTTTGTTACACCCGAAACAGCGACCCTTGAAGGCTGTAACTGCTAAATTCGATGTTGTAACAGCGTGTACAGTGGCACGCTCGATTGGTCCCCGAGTGTGGTTTCCACCATAGGAACCTGTCCTTGGTCAGTAGAACGAATCCAACCGCTCCGCAACTCTCTGCGCCTCCATCAAATCTGTAATTTCTCAGACTTGTATTTCTCTGCGCAGATCCGGTCCAAGTCCCCCGATGAATTTATCGAAAGTCTCGTCAGGGTGAATGTAGCCGACCTGATCGCATAGATTCTTGAAGTCGCTGTTGTAGTCATGGACCGATCCGAGTTGGCGCCATGTGCGAAGGCGGTCGCACGCTTGCATTGACGTGTTAGAAGCGGCGATGAATTCCCGCGCACCACGATTGCCATGTGCTGTACTCGTCCACCTTGCAATAACTTCCTGCCCAGTGATTGGTCGTAGGAAAACGCCCGATTACGCGCGGCGTCGTATCCGGCTCCTGCGACCGAATTATCTGCTGCCACCAATCCATAGCCGGTCCATGTAGGAGTGACATGGCGTACCGGATTTTTTTGCGCGACGTCGCTGACGAGGTTGCAGTCGTTAAAAACATTCAGGTAAAAAATCACCCGCTAACGGATAAGTTGCCACGCTGGCTTGGGTCGAACGTGGGCGGCCTCTGTGTCTTGAGAATTCCAGGCGCCATGCTGATGTTGGCAGTTTGCAGGCCGGACGGAGGGGTAATTGGGGGCGGCAGGTTTACGTTCGTCCTTTCGCAACTTCCGCTCGTCCAATAGCCGGGTGGCAGGTTGTTCGTCGAACCCTCGGGCGAAAGTCGCGTTTGGTCGCTGATTGTCGCCAGCTATTTCGGAACGATGCTGGGTTACTTGCTCCTGTTGGCGTTGTTTTGTCGTTGGTGCGGTCATGTTGTGCCGTGTCTGCTGCTGTTGGCTCCGAAGTGCAGATATCTCGGATTCGACTTGGGCCGTTTCAGCTCGTAGGCGCGTCAACTCCTGCTGGTACAAATCGTGAGTGAGACGGACTTCATCAAGTATTGCAGCCTTTCCTCAGGAGTCATGCTGGTAGATGCCGACGGATCCACCATTTCGCGGAAGTTTTGGGCGGCCTTCGGCACTGCGAACGCAGTCGTGGCTGTAGGTAATTATCAATGAATGTTACCAGGTTAAAGGACATGCAGTAAGCGCAGGGCGTCACCCTCCCTAAGTGTCGGTATTGCAGCGGAACTAGAGCGCAAGGCTAAGGATCGTTGGCTCTGATGGCCAGGTGTAATGAAGCGCAAAGAGCGTGTGTCGAAAGATTGATTAGCGAGGAAACAATACAGCTGAGGCAACATCAAAACAGCAGGGACAGAGAGCATGGATATAGCTAGCCTAGGAGCACACGGTCGTGGCTCGGCAGAGCTGCGACGTGTGGTTCGTAAAATGGCGCGGAGCGCCCAGATCTAGGCATGCAACAGCAAGGCGAGCAACAATGTATGCGGCTCGTAAGGAGGCCACATTTGGGACCGCGATTTGAGTTTCATGGCAGAGCTGCGCGGCAACCCTGCTATAGCATTGTACGCCTTACTGACTAAAATCCGTGATAAGGAAATACCATTTCCTTACAGAAATGCACTAAGTCAACTCAATACAATGCATGTTCCTGTCAACTTATACATATTATCTATGTAGAAGTTATAGGCTAGACTGAGGTATGCTTCTAGTGAGTACAACCAACTAGTATTTGTTCTAGGTTTCCACCTCTAGTAATCATTCGTTTCTACGTTAACATGGTATCACGCTTAGGTTAGGATCCCCCCGCCTACCGCTTCCGCCCGTCGCGCCTCCTAGGCCCCGTCGCGCCCCCTAGGCCCCGTCGCGCCCCCCCTGGGCCCCGTCGCGCCCCGTTGGCCCCGTCGCGCCCCCTGGGCCCCGTCGTGCCCGCTGGGCCCCGTCGCGCCTCCTAGGCCCCGTCGCGCTCCCCCTGGGCCCCGTCGCGCCCGCTGGGCCCCGTCGCGACCCCTAGGCCCTAACGCGCCCCCGCTGGGCCCCGTTGCGCCTCCTAGGCCCCGTCGCGCCCCCCATGGGCCCCGTCGAGCCCGCTGAGCCCCGTCGTGCCTCCTAGGCATCGTCGCGCCTCCTAAGCCCCGTCGCGCCCCCCCTCTGGGCCCCGTCGCGCCCCTCCTAGGCCCTGTCGTGCCCGCTGGGCCCCGTCGCGCCTCCTAGGCCCCGTCGCGCCCCCTCTGGGCACCGTCGCGCCCGCTGGGCCCTGTCGCGCCTCCTAGGCCCCGTCGCACCCGCTGGGCCCCTTCGCGCTTCCTAGGCCCCGTCGCGCCTGCTAGGCCCCGTCGCGCCCCCCCTGGGCCCCGTCGCGCCCGTTAGGCCCCGTCGCGGCCCCCCTGGGCCCCGTCGTGCCCGCTGGTCCCCGTCGCGCCTCCTCGGCCCCGTCGCGCCCCCCTGGCCCCGTCGTGCCCGCTGGGCCCCGTCGCGCCCCTTAGGCCTCGTCGCGCCCGCTGGCCCCTGTCGCGCCTGCTGTTAGCGCTCGCCTGCCTGGCCTCCTAGTGCCGCTCGGCCTCCTCCTAGTGCCGCCCGGCCCCTTCCTAGCGCCGCCCGGCCTCTCCTCAGCGCTGCCTGGCCCCTCCTCGTGCCCGACCGGCCCCAGCAGCACCAGCCTGGCCCCTCCCAGCACCAGCCCGGCCCCAGAGCACCTGCCCGCCTCCCCTGCTCGGCCTGCCGTGTCCTCTCGGGCCCTGTGTCTTCTGCTCGCCTGCGCTGGGACGCCTAGCTGCTGCCCTACTGGAGAGTGCTGCCGTCGTGTCCCCGCGCCGCTGTGCTCCTGTGCCGCTGAGGAGCTGTGCTGCTGTGCCGCTGTGTCGCTGAGGAGCTGTGCCGCTGACCCTGCACGATGGCTGACTTTGTGCTCCGCCTGGACGCTGAGGGCCACGCGGTTGACTTCGCCGCCTGGCTCTCCGATCTCCGCCGCCAGCTTACAGGTCAGCGCCAGGATGGCCACTCTCTGGTTGTCCATGCTGATGGCTTGCTCCCCCGTCCCCCTGCACCTACTCCCCTCCCTGCTGACCCCTCCTCTGATGACCGTGAGGCTTTCTCTACTGCTGCGCTGGCCTGTGCGGTCTGGGACTCACGCGATGCAGTAGCTCAGGTTGCTATTAGTCACGCCCTCCCTGTGTCTGAGCGCTCGCGTTTTGCTACTGTTGAAACGGCCAAAGCTTATTTAGACGCCGTTATTGCTCGCTATTCCACCCCTGCCTCCGCTTCTGCTGGCCGCTTGCTCTTTCCGATGCTGTTCCCAGACCTGGCTGCCTTCCCTACTGTCGCAGACTTTGCCACTCATTTGCGTGCCCTAGAGACTCGCTATCGCACTGCCAGCACTGCTGCCCAGCTCACTGCGCTCCCCCCTCCTTTCTGCATGACGCTCTATTTTATCGCTATGCGCCTGCCAGACCGCCTCGCTAGTGCTCGCGACCACTTTCTTAGCCAGCACCCGGGTGACCTCACCCTGATCGCCTTTGTCGACACCCTCACTGAGATCGAGACTCGCCAGCGCACTATCGCTCAGTCGAGCGGTGCGCCGGCAGTCCCTATCTTTCACGGCTGTGCCCCATCCCAGTGCACGTTCACTGACGTTTCGGCTGCGGTCGCCACGGCGACCCCTCTTACCGAGACGGCTGCTGCTGTCCACCCGCAGCAGCGCTCGCGTCGCGGTGGCCGTGGCCGCCAGGGAGGTAGGGGTGGTGACGCAGGTGGTAGTGGTCGTGGTGGTGATGACGGTAGTCCGCCTGAGGGGACTACCACCGGTGGGCAGGAGCAGCAGCCCCAGCAGCAGCAGGACCAGCCCCAGCCGCAGCCGCCGTCCCAGCAGCACCCGCCGCAGCCGTGGGCTCGTCTCCCGCCTGGTTGGCCCGGCACCTCCGGAGGCGGTGGCCGTGGTGGCGGCCCGCGCAGCTTGGCGTCTACCAGCGGCTCCAGTGCTGTGACCTGCCAGTACCAGCTTCAGACCGGGCCTCTCCGCGGCACTCTGTGCCGCCGCACGCACCCGACCGCCCGCTGTTTCCGCCGCCTCGACGATCTTTTTCGTCGTCGCTTTGGCCCGGCCCCGGACCTCCCTGACTGGCACAGCCTACTCCGCCAGGGCGTGCCGATCTTTGAGTTAGACATGGATCAGATAGGTGCTGCTTTGCATGCTTTGTATGCTGACGCTTCTAGTGTTGCTGGATCTTACTACCCTGTGTACTCTAGTTTAGGTGTTTCACCCTTGTGTAGCTTAGCTTCCCCTGCTGCGACAGGCGTAGGACTGCCTAGGTTGCCTAGTCTAGTCGCTGCACCGGCTCCGTCCCCGGCCTCCGCCACTGCGTCGCTGTCCTTCACTCTCGACTCTGGTGCTTCTGCCTGCTTCTTCCGCGACCGTTCCACGCTCACGCCGCTTGCTGCACCTGCTGTTGTCTCTCTCGCTGACCCCTCTACGGGTCCGGTCGTCGCGCGCAGTTCTACGTCCCTTCCTTGTCCGGCAGTTCCCTCGGGCTCCCTTACTGGCCTCCACGTTCCCTCGTTCTCCAGGAACCTGGTTGGTGTCGGCTGTCTCCAGGACCTCGGCGTCACCACCACGTTCCCCGGGCACGAGCGGTTCGCTGTCTGTTCTGAGGCTGTCTCAGGTTCCCCCCTTGCGACGTTCCCCCGGGACCCGGTGTCCGGTCTGTTTACCCTACACACCGCTTCCCCCCCGGTTGGTGCGTCCTCCCAGGTCGCTGCAGCTTGCTCTTGTCGGTCCCTCACTCACCCCTCCCTTCTCTGGCACCACCGCTTAGGTCACCCTGCTCTCCCGCGTCTGCGTCACATGTCCCAGCACGGTCTTGTCTTAGGTCTCCCCGCGTCGCTCCCTGCCCTTCCTCCCTCGACTGCGCCACCGTGCACGCCTTGCGTCGAGGGTCGGCTCCGCCGTGCTCCTCACTCCTCCTCGCTGCGTCCTGCTACTGCCCCCCTTCAGACCCTGCACTTGGACGTTTGGGGCCCTGCCCCCGTCCCCGGACCGCGCGGTGAGCGCTACTTCCTTGTGCTCGTCGACGACTACACGCGCTACACCACGGTGTTTCCCCTGGAGCGGAAGGCCGACGTGCCCGACGTTCTTCTCCCGTGGGTTGTGGCTGCGCGTCTCCACCGCGGTCTCCCCGTGTTGTGTCTCCACTCCGACCGTGGCGGCGAGTTCGCCTCTGGTCGGCTTGGACAGTTCTGTCGTGCGGAGGGCATCACCCAGTCGTACACGTTGCCGGACTCGCCACAGCAGAATGGGGTTGCTGAGCGCCGCATCGGCTTGGTCATGGAGGTCGCCCGTACCTCCATGATCCATGCCGATGCCCCCCATTTTCTGTGGCCGTTCGCTGTTCGCTACGCGGCTCACCAGCTTAACCTGTGGCCACGCTCCCAGCGGCCGCAGGTTTCGCCGACCCTCCTTTGGACCGGGTCCCCCGGTGACGCGTCTGCGTTCCACGTCTGGGGCTGCCTTGCTCACGTTCGTGCCTCTGGCACGGACAAGCTCACTGCCCGCACTGTCCCCTGTGTCTTCCTCGGTTTCCCCCTGGACTCGTCTGACTGGCTTTTCTACCACCCGCCGTCTCACCGCTTCCTCCACTCTCGTGACGTCACCTTTGATGAGTCCGTCTCCTTCTACCGCCGCTTCCCTCACCGAGGTCTCCCAGTTGCCCCCCCCCTTTTCCTTGCTCCCTCTCCCCCGGTAGCCCCTGCCCCTCTCCCGCCTCGTCCTGCCCCGTCTGGTGTCTCCCACGTCACTCCCCTCCCGTCGGTTGTCCCCGTTGAGGAGTCTGCTGACTCTGGTGGTACCCCGGTCCGTCCTTGCAGCGTCCCCCTTCCCCGGTGCCTCCGCCCCCACTGTCGCAGTCGCCGACCCCGCTGCCGCCGCCGTCGCCGTCGCCGCCGCAGCCGTCGCCGCTGTCGTCGCCGCCGCCGCCGCTGTCGCTGCCGCAGCCGTCGCCGCTGTCGCCGCCGCCGCAGCCGTTGCCGCCACTGCCGCCGCTGCTCTCGGCCCCTGGGGGTGCTGGTGTGGAGGAGGGTGTTCGTCCTGCGGCTTCTGGGGGTGCCGCTGGTGTTGGAGGGGGTTCTCGCTCTTGGGGTGTTGGTTCTGGGGGTGCTGCTGTTGAGTGTTCTGCCGACGGTCGTTCTGCCTCTGCTGGTCCGAGAGTTCCGGCCCAGCCGTCGTCGCCGCCGCAGCAGCCGTCGCCGCCGGTTTCCGCTCTCCGCCTGCTCGGCCTTCCCTCCCCGGACCGCGCGCCGGTGTCTCCCCCACCGCCTCCTGACCTTCCTGTCTACGGTCCTGTGTTCCCGCCGCCAGACTCGTCTCCGGCCCGTCTTCCTCCTCGTTCCCCTCCTGTGTCTCCTCCGCTGTCCCCTGACCCTACCCCTCCGTCTCACGTTTGGGCTCGCCGTCCCTCCCGTGCTCGTCCCGTCTCTCCTGTCCTGCCCACCCACCCTATGTTGCTCCGTTCCCACTCGTCTCGTCCTCCCCTCCTCCCGTCCCCTCCTCCCTCGTCCCTTGCTGTTGCACCTCCTCCGTTCTCTGACTACCTCCGTGCTGCTCGTCCCCTTGTCCCTCGGGTCCTTGCCTCTCTTGTTACCGACCCTGCTGTTCCTGTCTCGCGCCTTGACGCGCTTGTCGCTGCTGTCGCTGACTTCGCCTCTACCCGCCGCCTTGACTACGCTACCGCTCTGGTCTCTGACCCTGCCCGTCCTCTGTCCGTCGGGGGTGCTCCTGCCCTTGGCAGTGACGTCCTAGAGGACAGGCAGTACGAGCTGGCTTTCCTTTCCGAGGCTGCTCCCCATCTCTGCTCCATGCTGTTAGTCCCTGAGGGTGACCCAGACGCCTTCGACATCCCGACCCCTCGCACCTACGCTGAGGCCACCTCGGGACCTTGGGCCTCTCAGTGGATAGCTGCCATGGAGCAGGAGATGGCATCTTGGAGATCCACCGGCACTTACGTCGACGCAGTTCCCCCGCCTGGGGTGAACGTAGTCGATGGTCGGTGGCTCTTCAAGGTGAAGCGCCCCCCTGGAGAGCCGCCTGTCTTCAAGGCGCGCTACGTGGCCAGAGGTTTCAGTCAGCGCGAGGGGGTTGACTTCTTCCAGACCTTCGCCCCGACCCCGAAGATGACCACTCTTCGGGCGCTGCTACACGTAGCAGCACAGCGTGACTACGAGCTTCACTCCCTCGACTTCTCTACTGCCTTTCTTCAGGGCAGCCTACACGAGCAGGTCTACCTGCGCCGACCACAGGGCTTCACTGGTACCTTCCCTCCTGGGACCCAGTGGCTTCTCAGGCGCCCGGTCTACGGCCTGCGTCAGGCTCCCCGCGAGTGGCACGACACGCTACGTGCCACGTTAGCAGACCTGCAGTTCTTTCCGTCCTCTGCTGACCCTTCACTGTTTGTGCGTTCCGGCCAGACTCCGTTCTACATCCTTGTCTACGTAGACGACCTGGTCTTCGCTACTCCTGACAGGGACGCACTGGCCTCTGTGAAGGCTGAGCTGCTGAAGAGACACACCTGCACTGACCTTGGAGAGCTGCGTCGCTATCTTGGCCTGCAGATCTCTAGGGACAGAGCAGCACGCACCATCACTCTGACCCAGTCACACTTGGTGCGTCAGGTCCTTCAGAGGTTCGGTCTTCAGTTCTCCTCCGCACAGCCCACACCTCTACCCGTAGACCATGGGCTCTCTGCTCCCGTTCCTGAGGAGCCAGTAGAGCCCAGTGGCCCCTACGCAGAGCTGGTGGGTTGCCTCATGTACCTGATGACTTGCACTCGCCCAGATCTCGCATACCCTCTCAGCATCCTGGCTCGCTTTGTGGCTACAGGCAGACACCGACCTCAGCACTGGTCTGCCGCTAAGAGGGTTTTGCGTTATCTTGCTAGTACATCAGGCATGGGGTTAGTGCTAGGAGGACGCAGGCCAGTGGTCCTTACTGGGCACACAGACGCTTCTTGGGCAGACGACGCTGAGAGGCTCAGGTCGTCGCAGGGCTACTGTTTCAGCCTTGGTTCGGGTGCTATCTCTTGGAGATCCACTCGCTCGTCGTCTGTGGCTCAGTCTAGCTGTGAGGCTGAGATCTACGCTGGTGCCATGGCGGCACAGGAGCTCCGCTGGCTGACCTTCTTGCTCACATACTTAGGTGAGCGGCCTAGCTCTGCCCCGGTCCTGTACGCTGACAACAGGGCCATGATACTCCTGTGTCAGGAGCCTCGGCTTGAGGGCAGAGCGAAGCATATCCAGCTGCGGTACTTCCTCCTGCGCGAGCTACAGCAGCGCCGCCAGGCCCGCGTAGTTCACTTGGCCTCAGGTGCCAACACAGCTGATATCTTTACTAAGGCGCTTGCGCCTAAAGATCATCAGCGGCACTGTGTACAGCTTGGTCTTGTTCCTGTAGCTGCTCCCCTGTTAGGATCCTGATTGTGTACTCTCTATTATATATGCTTGTCAGACTGGCCTTGTGGCCTTACCTCCAGTGGCTGGACTAGTAGTGCCACCCTGGCTTGCTTCAGTTTTGGTTGTATTCTTGCTGACTGGTCTCCAGACCCCTGCCTCAGTGGTTGGACTAGTAGTGCCGCCCTGAGCTGTTTGCTTCTTGTTTAGTTTCACCCCTTGTCTAGCCTAGGGGGTGTGTCAACTTATACATATTATCTATGTAGAAGTTATAGGCTAGACTGAGGTATGCTTCTAGTGAGTACAACCAACTAGTATTTGTTCTAGGTTTCCACCTCTAGTAATCATTCGTTTCTACGTTAACAGAGGGAGCTATGACTCTGGCTACGACTTAGCCGAAATTGCTGGCTTGCATGGTGCGTGGGGTGGGAGGAATGACTCTGGCTGCCAGGGACTTCGTCGAAATTTTTGGTTGCAGGGTGTTTTGGGGGAAATGTTTCTGGCCGCCAAGGACTTAGTCAGAATCTCGGAGTTTCGATACCAGGGTAGTTTTCAGGACGCCCTGAAGGGTCAGGGTTCGGGGCCCCGCAACCCTAGTTCCGGCAGGGTAATATTTTCGTAACACTTTTTGGATCAGGGTAATAAATTTCGTAAGTCTGATTTTTAAGACCAAATGAAAAAATGCCCTGAAAAATCAGGGCAATCAGGGCATTTTACCCGGCTAATTTGAGCCCTGTGCAGCACGCGCTTGCAAAATGACGAGTCTGATGTAAGGTTAGTCTGACGCGAGGCTGTAGGAATTCGCCCTGATTCGTTTGACAGCTCTTTGCGGCTTGCATTCCATGTTATTATAGAACCAGGAGGGGGCAACATGATCAGGTATAAATCCGCCTCAGGGCTCGCTGCTCCTGTGAAGTGTGCCCTGTATATTCAGGATACAGCACGTTGGCTGGTACCGTAGTACCAGTACCAGCCTCACCCACAGGTTCTCATTCTCGTACAGTACGTAAGGGATAAATGAAAAACTAAGGAGCAATGACTAATTCACACTCGGTGTTCAAGGCAGGCAAAGCAACTAACAGGAAAAACACCCATAGGCTATACACTACTCAGAAACCCCCAACCCCCTAACAATATGATCCCTTCCCCAACCCCCTACAGTTGCGCCTCTAGCTAGCAACGATACAAGGACTCAAATCCTCAGAGATGGCTCAATTGCCAGTCCTCCCATCCCTTATTAAAGCCACCGGCTCTCACATGACCTCATCCGTAGACCTGAGTGCAGTGCACATCAGGTCCCACCCTCCAGCCTCTTCCTTCCCCTCCTGCTGCACGTACACGTGCCAAGAATCAACCCGACACAGCTGCTAGGGCATCCATTGCCTCTGCTGCTGCACCTTCAGCAGTTTCTGCTGCTGAAGCCACAGCCTGCTGAAGCCACAGCCTGCTGCTACAGCCTCATCCTTCCCCTCCGCAGCTGCTGCTACAGCCACCACTGGTGCCCACGGCTGCATCCAGCCATTTCCCTTGCAGGGTTCCCTTGCTACTTCATCAAGCAGCACACCCCTGGCCGTTTCCTGCGTCTGGTTCACCTACTCTCTATCCTCGTCCGACTGCTGCGTGCCAGCCCAGGCATCCCAGCCGCTGCTTCTGCTGCAACTGATATGCCATTACCGTACAGATGCACCCCGCAACCCAGCAGTACCGTGCACTCAAACCACACTTGCCCACTCCACCCACTCCACCCATTCCGCACTCACTCTCACTCTCACGCTCTCACACAACCCCCCACCATCTCATGCTCACGCGCACACTGCATCCCGCGGCGGGCAGAATTTCTCATCACCTGGCGTAGAGCCCAGAGCTTTCAAAACCGCTGCTGGCTCCGACCCCGCTCCTGCTGCTGCTGCTGCTGGCACTGCTGCTGCTGCTGCTGTGAGAACAGAGGCCGACTGCACACCCAGCACTGCCACAGCAGGATCATCCACAGCCACCATCACAACCCCGGGTTCAATGACCGACGCTGCTACTGCCTCGTCCTCCGCATCCAATGGCTTACTCTCTAAACGCGAGTCACATGAAGCAAGCGAGTCGAGAGAGGGGATGGAGTCAAGCGAAGGGAGAGAATCGAGAGTAGGAAGGGCGTCGAGAATAGGAAGGGAGTCGAGATAGGAAAGGGCATCGGCCAGAGGCACGGAATCAAGACTAGGGAACTGAGGGGAGACGGAGTCATCCAGGGAAGGCAGCAACTCAACTTCCCCTGACATTGACACGGGCTCGAGAGAGATCAGTGCGCCCATGGGGGGAGAGGAGGGCACCGACAGCTCCACCGCCTCAAACAAGGCGTCTTCGTCTTGAACACCCCTTGCTTCTGTCTCTGCAAGCACTCCGAGCAACGACTCCTGGGGTGAGTCAACAAGAGCGTCAGTAGCAGCTGCCTGGTGCGGCTCCTCAAGCAATTGGGCTGCAGTCGCAGGGGAGAGAGCTTCGCCCGATTCCGAGACAGAGAAAGAGGAGATTTGCTCGGGGAGAGCGGGTATTCCCAAGGGGAGGAGCTCCGAGTCAGAGTCATCTTGTACAAGTGATTCAGCTTCCGCTTCTGCTGCGGCTGCAGCGACCAATTCCACAGCTGCAGCTTTTGCTGCTGCTGTTTTCTCAGCCACAACTTCCGCCACTTCTGCTGCTGCTACCCTCTCAGCAGCCACGGCCCTGTCGGCTGCAGCTTCAGCTGCAGCAGCGGCAGGCGCGGCATACTGCCAGGCCTCGAAGGCGGGAACGCCGGCACTGGCAGCAGCGTAGAGGGGAGAGTTGACCAGCACGGGGATAGGGGTCAGCGCAGGGAAGCCTGAGGGGGACGCCGAGTATGCCTGCTCCAGCGCTGCTGCTGCTGCTGCTGACGCTGCTGCCGCTTCTGCCGCCGCTGCTGCTGCTGCTGCTTCTGCTGATGCTGCTGGTAACGCGTTGGCCGAAGCAGCGTCAGAAGAGGAAGAGGACTGGGAGGCAGTGGTTTGGAGGCCACAGAAGCGGGCGAGGTCGACCCACTGGGACGTGCCCCAGTAGGAGTTGACAGTGCGGGCCACGAAGGACAGCGCTGCACCCGCCATGGGGTTGGCTGCCAGGTAGTAGTCGGCAATCCAGTGCTCCACCACCCCTCCTATCACCTGAACAGGGGAGATGAGGAAAAGAGGGCCAACAGTTTTTAGGATAAGCTCACTGCACACGTGGACAAGCACGCATGGACAAGCACGCGTGGACAAGCACAAGTGGACAAGCACACGTGGAATATCAGCCATGGGACTGAAGCAGGTGGAGCCAGGGGAGGAGACCGGCAACAACTGAAGAAAGTGGGGCGAGCAGTGAGCCCAGAGACTCTATTCCTGAGGCGCCAAAAAAATAGACTCCTCAAGCAGTGAGCACAGATAACGCAGGTGAGCACGGAGACTGACCTGGTAGCGGAGGTTGGCTGACGTCGCCAGGAAGCCACCGTACACCGCTGCTGTCTTCAGCACAGGCGACCGCTGCACCACACCACTGCTAGAAGCAGCAGCAGGAAGCACAGCAGACGCATTGCCACCAGCAGCAGCACCAGCAGCACCAGCAGCAGCAGACATGTCCGCGAGCCGGTTCTTCACCTCCATAAAGAGATTGTTCAGCGCTACAGTGCCCACACTCGCCGAAAACCCAACAGTGAACAGCTTCCCGCTTGTAAAGAGGATGGACGCCAGCCTCTCCTGCAGCCCCCACACCTGCCCGGGCTGAGTAGCACGCTGGAACGCATTCTTTGGGAGAGTCGCCGCCCACGCGCTCACTCCCCCCAGCGCCTGCTGCACCGGCCCCTGCGCCGCCCCCGCCGCCCCTGCCGCCCCTGCTGCTGCTCCGGCTGCTGCTGAGCCGGCTAGTGTGGAGACAGCAGTAGAGGAGGTGAAGGAGAGGGTGGGGGCGGGCAGCCACACCGTGAAGAAGTTGACAATAGTGCCGCGCAGCACGTCGGTCGCCACGTACTCGATCTCCGACCAGAACCGCTCGCGCCGCTTCTCCCACTGCGCCAGCATCGCCGTGGTAATACTGATCGCCTCCTCAGTCACAATCCGCTGGAGAAACCGCGGGTCGGCGTACACTCTCTCCCTCAACCCTTGGAACCTTTTGGTCGCTTCGGCGACCAGCGGGTGGCTCTCGAGCTCGAAGAAGGACCGAAGGGTGTCTGGGGAGATCAGCCCGCGCTCTATCCCCGTTTGTAGGTCCTGGGGCAGGTTGTCAAAAGTTCTCCCGGCTGCCCCCATGACGCGCGCGATTTCTGCCCGGTCGAAACAGTTGTGCGTGCACATCCGGCTGCCCGAGTACCAGAAGAAGTCGGCCTCGGGCAGCTCGGAGTCTGCCCGGCTGCGCTGCCGCTCGGGGTTGAGCAGGACGATGCGTTGCGAGGCGGCGGAAGTTTTCAGCTGCCCGTTGTTGATCCGGGCAGGGACGCCGGTCCCTTGCGCTCCGTACCGCACTTGCGACGCCCCCGTGAGCACCACCAGCAGGCCGACAATCCCACCGTCCGCCATGGCTTGGTCGATGCTGCGCGCCATGGCGTGCTGCTCCACCACGCGCGCCTGCGCGAACCAGTACGGTCCCGGGCCGAACGGCAGCGACGTGCGCGATACCGCCTCCCTCGAATACACCTCCGCCGCCACCGCCGCCGGCTCCAGGCCCCACAGGCCGGATCCAGTAGCGCCAGTAGCGCCTGCTGCAGTGGCGCTCGGTGGGTCAGTTGTCGCGGAGGGGAGAGAGGAGGAGGTGGGGGAGGGAGGGGCGAAGCCGCCGAGGGGCGGGGCGTAGCGCTGGCGGTCGATGGGAGCCAGGGCCTGCACGCCGCCAGCCTGCACCGTACGCAGGATCTGGAGCGGCGGGCAAAGAAAAGAAATCAGAGCCGGGAAGGAGGAGGTTGAGGAGCTGGGGGTGGGAAACTATGCGCCGCATGCTCCCATGAGGGAAGACAGGAAGCTAAGGAAGCAAGAAGGGAAGCAAGAAGGGAAGCAAGAAGGGAAGCAAGAAGGGAAGCAAGAAGGGAAGCAAGAAGGGAAGCAAGAAGGGAAGCAACGGCCAATGACTCGAGGCCATGATTCTACAAGCCGTAGACTTCCACGAGCCCTCGAAGGAAGGAAGGGAGCAAGAGCCATGGCGCGCCGCTCACCTTGGGAGGCACGCCGCACGCGAAGAGGCGGACGCCCGAATCGCGGCAGTACCGCAGCAGCGGAACCATCTCCTCAAACCGCCCCTTCGACCAATGGCTGACCGCCACCTGGAGGTCCTCTTCTGACAGCCTGGGAGCGGAGCAGCCGAAAAAAGGGCGTGGCGAAATATATTAGACCGTTGGAAAAAAAAAAGGCCAAAAGCTTTTTACAATTTTATCTCGCAGAGAATGGTACAGCGAGCCAGTGTATCGCGTACGAGGAGCCCGTCCTCACCTCTTGCCGAGATACTTGTCGAGCAGCGGCTGCGTGGTTCGCGGAAACGCGGAGAGCGCGAGCGTGACGGGGCGGCCCGCCTTGAAGCAATCGTCTCTTAATCGGCGCACGATTTCCAGAGCCACAACCTAGAAATTTGATTGAGGGGAGAAACGCGGCGGGAGATGCTTTAATTGAGGGGAGAAACGCGGCGGGAGATGCTTTACTTGAGGGGAGAAACGGTTACCTGGCGAGGGCGAAAGGGGAAACAGGCGGGCTTAAAAAAAAAAAAAAAAAAAAGCCTTAATCTTCCAGAGGCGACAACGGGCGCAACATGCGGCAGTCAGACGAATCATAAGCTGACATAGAACTCAGTAGTCAGCCCTCACCTTGTCCGTCGGATCGCGGACCATCTCGGCTTCCCCTAAGTAAACCACCCGCGCCGCCGCCAGCCGCTGCCAGACGCCCTCCTTATCGCCCATCAGCGCCGGCTCGCCAACGGCCGTCGCGTCGTACACGCGCGACTCGGGCCCCTTCGCTGCTGCAGGCGCGCCGCCTTGCGCGCCGCCCTTCGCGCCACCGTCCACGCTCACTCCGCCGCCACTAGCCTCTCCGAGGAACCAGAGAGGCGATTTCGACTTCGCCTTGCCGGCTTCCGCCGCCGCCGCGCCGACCAATCCGAGCTCAGCGGCGGTTGCGGCGCCAAGCGCGGCGACGCTGAAGCCGAGCAGAGCGCGCCGATTGAGACGGGGAGTAGGCAGAGCGAAGCCCGACGGCAGATGCGGAAGGACGATCGCCTCGACCGCCGCCGATTGCGGTTCCTCGACGTGCTGGCGGATCAATTCGGACGGACCGCCCACAGGAGTCGCGGCAGTCGCATCTCGGTCTTCGTTTTCGCCAGCAGAAGTCTCGCCAGAGTCGGTGCGGGAAGCCGCGGGGCGCGCGGCGACGGCGGAGATTAAGCGCTTAATCGACCGCAGCGCCGGCGGCGCCTTGAGCACGACGACCGAGCCGCACGGGTGCTGGGTCACTAAGTCCACGTTCCGTAGACGCTGGTGCTGAGTCATCAGCTCCACGCTCCGAAGAGCCGGCGCGAGGGCGATTCTGGCTTTAACGAGCGGCACGCCTTTTTTACTGATGCGTGAAGGAGAAGCACCACGATTCTTCGAGGAAAGACCGCCGCGCGACCGGGATGCTGATCCGCGGAAGAAGCTGGTGGAGGAAGACGACAAAGTAGGCCGCCCGCTGAGAAACGATGAAGCGGCGCGGTCAAGAAGCGGGGTTGGAGACCCCGCGACGCGGGAAGCCATTGCTGAAGGCGCTGCGCTGGTCATGACTGATCTTGATTTTTACAAAAAGGGCGGAGAACGAAGAAGGCTGCGGAGAAAAATAAAGGCTTAATAAAAAATGTCAGTATAGATGTCAGCTGCTCAGTGTTGTTAGATGTCAGTGTCGGATCGCCCAAAGACTCGCGCAGATGCTCCGCGGACCGTCGATCGCGGCGACAATCCCGCCAAAGGTACCAGCCATATCCACCAGAAGCCACAGGTCGACAAGAATCAATAAATGGTCCGGCTAGCTGAGAGCGGGAGACGCCGGGCTGCAAACCGCGGCCATGATTGACGCCTTGAGTCCCAAATTGAACATTCTGACCGACTCAACTGCGACGATGGCACTAAATAATGTCCAGTTGCGATGGAAAACAGGGCCTCCTACTGCTGGCTGCCCTTGAAGGAGGCTGCTACCACTACAATCTGCTCCAGCCATGGCAGGTGGTCTAGCATTTCAGGTTGGAGAAACAGGCGAGGAGCAGAAACGGTTTGATGGGGGGAGAAACGCGGGAAACAGAGCTCGATGAATGGACTGGTCAGGAGGACCAGGCGGGTAGGCGGGGAAATGATTGGTATGCGCTGCTGCTGCTGTCGGCCCGTATGCCGCTAGGTGTAGGGAGCAGAGCAGAGCCAAGTAGAGCAAAGCACAGCGAGGAGGGTTCCTGTGACCTGTCCTGCGCGGAGCGGACCAGCGCCCTGGCCATGCATCCATTCGATTCGTCCGCAGTTGCGTGGGGCAGCGAACAGCTAGGCGCGCATACATCCGTTACGGGCATCTGCGGAATTTTCCAGCGGGCTGCGACGGGGAAAGACTCTAGTGGGAAACGCGCGGCGGGTGGGTTGTGTGGGGCGAACAGAGGGTAAAAGGGGGATGAATTGCAAACTCCGGGGGTTTGTTTGACCCGAGATCCCGGGGCATGTCCCATGGGTCAGACGTTTTTGGAGATTTTCCAGATGCGGTGCGTCGAACTAGCTGGTTTCCTGGTTTTCCGCGACTGTCAGTTGTGTGCGTTGAGCACCAGACTGGGTTTGAACAATGGATCTCGGTCAGTAGCGTTGACGGGAAATTGAACAGTGGATAAGCTTGAAAGGGGCAATAGTGCAGTGTGTTTGGTCATTCTCGAGAAGGATGCACATTTGTTTGCCCGTCAGCGATTCGTTTGCAGAGCATTGAACGTGTCAGCGGGCAGAGCGACACGCTTGGCCCAACGCCCCACTTCACGCAAGTTTCTAGGCACGGTGGCCGTGGCTCAGGGAAGGCAGGTCCGCCACAGAATCCGTGGAGTCGCAAAAACAAAGCCAGGATGCGGGAACTGTGGGGTGATCGTTCGCCGCTTTTGATTGGCTACTCAGAAATCGCTCGGGTTACGTCGGGTAAGATCGACGGTGATTATAGGCCTGCGGCGCTTCCGGAAGCAGCACCGTGGATATCTGCAGACGTGGCACACCGGTCTGACGTGTTCGGATTACACCAGAAGCACGGGCAACCTCAGATACACCCTCTTCTTCGTTAGGCTCCCGCGTGTATGTCAGGCTAGCAGCGTTTTTTGGTTTTTTTTTTCCGGAATGTGATTGTACGTGACCGCCTGGGGAACCGACCGCCAGGGGTATTTTCCAAGTCCCCGAAGAAGTAGGGGTGTATTCTGGAGTGACGAGTGTTTGGTCGCACATGGAGGGAAACCAGTGGGAGTCAAACATTGTTTAAAAAAAAAACCCACAACACACACACACACACACACACACACACACACACACACACACACACACACACACACACACACACACACACACACACACACACACACACACACACACACACACACACACACACACACACACACACACACACACACACACACACACACACACACACACACACACACACACACACACACACACACACACACACACACACACACACACACACACACACACACACACACACACACACACACACACACACACACACACACACACACACACACACGTGGAAGGGATCGCAACAACCCGAAAGACCCGCGACTGTAGGGAACTGTCAACTCTCGACAGAATGAAACAGAATGTTCCGAATGGAGGATTCACGCGACGAGGAGCTTCTGGAATCAGCAGCTCAACCCGTTAAGGTCTGTGGTTTTTCCCACACTAAGCCATATTTGGTCCAGGGCAATGTGAAATTCCATAAATTCATGTGATAAGATGCCGAACTTGGTAATGACTGTATCCGCTTTTTGATGCTACGTGATTTGAGACAAACGGTATTTAGGGTGTAGTTGCTTTCGGCAAACCGCTTGTCCCTCAGAACAACCGTTGACCTGTTGACCTGGTCAAGGAATCACCATCGCTCGATTCTTTCCACACCAACTCCAAACCAAAACTGGGGTTTGCCAAGGTTTGCTGGAGGGCTCATGCGCTGGAGGGTACGGGGTCCCAGGAGTGGGTAAACCTTTCCACGTCAGGATACGACTGAATATTCTTCCGTTGGGAAAACAAGATGCTCTTCGTTGTAATAACAGCACATAGCCAATCAGGGGCCCTTATGGTTGCTTCTCTAGTATCAACTTCATCCACCCTTCAGTTACACCGCTTGTTCTGTAAGTGGTTTCCTAATCCCACATCCAACTGATTCACCATTTCATATACCATATAACAAATTATGAAACCTGCCAGACATGAGACAAATTTGCTCAACCATATAAGCTTACTACATTATCGTTCACGGAGGACAACGGTGTTTCAGCCCTATATCGAGGACAAGCCTTGCGCACCACATAAGCTCACGCCTGACATAGTCCAAGAGGAGCATCAATCCTAGGCACTGCGTTGATCCTCCCTGGTTGTTCAGACATCTATCGCCGACTTTAATCTCCCAAAGCAGCATGATCCGGCACGAGTACCGCGGATTCGGCATCCCGCCCGGCCCTCCTCAGCTCCCGGAGATGTTTCACGGACCCGCGCATGGCGGGAAGGTTAGAGCGGACGAGAAGGTGGTTCCTGGTAGCGAGCGAACCGGCATCATGTGCGGCCCGATGGTTCCCGTAGATCGCGGATTAGATCCGGTGAAGCACACGCAGTGAGTCATTTCGCATGACCGGTGGTCCTCTGTAATTTTCCTTCTCATCCTTCCAGGTCACACGATTCTAGGTTTGGTTCTAGGAAGTTGTCGACTTGTCTGGGTCGTATCCTTGTCTTCGCCGTATCCCATCTGGTTAATCATGGTCGCTCGAGATTCCGTGCACGCATTCAGTTGCGTGAAATCTACCGAAATCACTTCAACTAAATTCAAGGATTCACAAGGCTCTGGGGGTTGTGCGTGAGTTATAGCATGCGAGGTCCGAGATTCATCCCTTGGGTACCTCTCTGCTTGCTTTACCCTTGATCTTTTCCCCGTCGCTCTTGTCCATTGCAACTCATCCCCTGCTGGGTGTTTTTGAAAATTCTCCGTGTTCTCCTCGTTGCCTGAAGGTACCCGTATGTCACGGGTGCGTCTGTGATCGCTATGAAGTATAAGGACGGCATTATCATGGCAGCTGATACCATGGGTATGTTCACAGTACTGCTGTGTCTGTTTGTGTCTGGAGGAAGGGAGTAGGGGGGTGGAAGAGGGAGAGGGGGGAAGGGGGAGTGTCAGTAGTTATTGAAAAACAATTTTGAGTTCCGAGTGCTTCTTCTCCGTTGAATCTCCTGTCTTGCCTCTACCCAGAGGCACAAGAGCGTGGAGCCTACCTACGCACAAATCCAGATGTTTCATTGTTTCTGTCTCTCGCAACTTTTCCCTTCTTTCGTCAGATTGATTTGCTTCTCCTCTTCCTCCTACCCACCCCTCGACCCATATCCAGGCGCCTACGGCCGCACCATGAGGTGCAACACTGTGGAGCACATAAAGCGACTGGCTCCCCTTTCTAACGTTGCTTTTTTATCCCCCCCTCTCCTCCCCTCCCCCTCCCCCCATCCAGGCGCCTACGGCCGCACCATGAGGTACAAGAGCGTGGAGCGCATGAAGCAGGTGGCTCCTCAGACGGTCATGGGAGCTGGTGGGGAGATCAGTGACTTTCAATTCATCCTCTCGCTATATGAGGAGCTGCTGTGAGTGACTTGCTCTTAACATATTCTATCTACATCGCAAGGGTCATGTACAACTGCCGCAACCCTTCGTATAATTGCTTCAGTAGACACTTCCAACCCATTCTAAGGCTCCTGGATTTTACGTTTTTATCCCCTGATTTCCCAACCCGCAACCACCCTACACAGCACGAACGACTATGCATTTGACGATGGCCATGTGCTGTCCACACGAGAGGTGTTCAACTACATGACGCGGGTCATGTACAACCGCCGCAACCGCTTCGACCCGCTCTGGAACTCCATTGTGATCGGTGGGCTGGACAAGGGCGAACCCTTCCTTGGCTCGGTAAGTTCCGTGACCTGCACCGGAACATCATGCTGCCGTTTGTTGATCCGTAAATCCGTAACCCCTTTTGTATGCGGTTTAGCTGTTTCTACATGCCTCTATTCTTTCCGCGAGGTCCCGATTTCCGTTCTTGTCCTCCAACCCAGCTTGCTCTGCGCTTCTTTCTCACCCAGGTCATCTTGACAGGGGGGGCGCTGCACAGATGACCACATTGCTCTCTCTGAAATGTAACCCAGGTTATCTATATATGCCCTGTATCTTCGCACGAACGCTATTTCCCCACTGCAGGTGACGATGATAGGCGTGCACTTCACGGACGACCACATCGCGACGGGTTTCGGCAGCCACCTGGTGCGGCCGCTCTTCCGCAATGAGCATCGGAACGACATGAGTGAGGAGGAGGCCGTGAAGCTGCTGGAGAAGGGCCTGCGAGTGCTGTACGCTCGCGACAGCAGCGCTCTCAACAAATTCCAGGTTTGTTAGCTGATTTATCTCAACTCCCAGTGTGTGTGCCTGGGCGTGCTTATGTTTTAGTGCTCGCCAATTTTCTGGCTGGCTAACCTTGTGTTTTTGTGTGAATGCGTTTGTTTGTGCAGATCTCAAAAGTGACTGCGGAGGGAGTGACAATATCGAAGCCATTTTCGTTGAACATAGAGTGGAACTACGCCCATTTTCAGAATGCAGTCCCTGACAAATATAGTGGCTCATGGTAACTACATACAGTACTTGTTGCGTCTGACAATCAAGCTTGTGATCAATGATGCGTGGTCCTCATGGTGCCCATGTTGCCTCATGTCACTGTAACATTGTCTATACAATGCATTTTTTACTGCAGCCTTAGAAGCGCTTCTGCTCACCAGGGAAAAAGTACAATTGGAAAGTGACTTTTGTCTTGCGTAAACTTGTTCCTCATGAATTGTACTGTCCTTGATACGTACATTTTTGTTATCGATTTCACCGTTTCTCCAATAGGCCCCTCGAAAATCTCGTGGACGAGCATATCGAGAGCCGCGCTTTACCGTCGATTGGTTTCCCCCAGGGTGTTTATCCGACGGTTTTGTAGTCAATCCGCTCAAATTGTCATGATTGGTCGAGCTTCGTTTGTCTCGTTGCTCAGCCCCTCCAGCCTTCTTTCGTGCGTCATAAATCTCGCCTCGAACTTCGCTGTTGATAATCAGTTTCCGTCACTAGCCATTCTCAGTTTCCTGAAGACACTTTTACCTCTCGCGCTCGATTTCACCGCTCGCTTCCAACTTTACTACTCGCTCTTTGCTCTACGTGTGCGCTCTGTCCGCTCCGTTCGCTCCTCTCAGTTCTCAGCAATCATGTCAGGTCGCGGAAAGGCTGCTGGAAAGAAGGCCGTGAGCCGATCAGCAAAGGCAGGACTTCAGTTTCCTGTGGGTCGTATAGCCCGTTTCCTCAAGGCAGGCAAATATGCCACTCGAGTGGGTGCCGGTGCTCCAGTTTACCTCGCTGCAGTCCTCGAGTACCTAGCTGCTGAGGTGCGTTTCATGTCGCCTTGATGGTGAGCCTCTCGCGTATTTTCTCGTCAGACTTGAGTGATAACGGAACTGACCTCTTCTCGGGTTGATTTTCCTCAGGTTTTGGAGCTTGCCGGAAACGCAGCCAGAGACAACAAGAAGACTCGCATCGTTCCGAGACACATTCAACTGGCCGTGAGAAACGACGAGGAGCTCAGCAAACTTTTGGGAATGGTGACCATTGCAGCTGGTGGTGTTCTACCAAACATTCACTCAGTCTTGCTTCCCAAGAAATCTGCGGCTGACAAGGGCGAAACCCCAGAAGTATAGTTCCTCTGGTTCTCTGATTGATACTACTTAGGCTCCCAAGCTGTACATGCTATTAGGAATACATCCAGTTCTGTTCCTTAGCTGAGAGTAAATAAGTAATAATTGCCTTCCTGTCAAGCTGTTCAGCGTACTTCCCTTGCTCCATGTTGCACCAATTTTGTTACCTAGTTTTGGATACCGTAACAGAACATAGAGAACGTTGAATTCGAGTTTGTAACTGTAGATCACTGTACACTAATCCAAACATTTGTGGTCTTGTTCAGCTACAGTATCTCCCTAGCCAGTGATTGAAGCTGGTGCTTGGTGGCGGACTTAGGCAGAATGTCACTCGAGAGATGAAAGCCATGACCACAGACTCGTTTCTACTGAACGTGTTGCTTGGCGATTCTAAGCGTATGGTCTGAGAGGTGACCGAATTATAGGTTTCGACTACTATGGTTATTAGCATGTGACTCTTGGTTTCTAGGCTTGCTCTTCCTGAATGGTAGTTGTTTCATAAGGATCGAAGCGGAAGCCCAACATCATCAGTTCCATTATGGTGTTAGGTTGCTGGAGATAATGCGGAGCCGAGACGCTTTCGCTAGACTAGTAGGCTTATCATGGGGGGTTACCTGGAGACTAAGATACATCTAGACGTCTCGCGTTCTCTGCCTTGATTAGTGGGAACAGGAGGAACGGCCATGAGATCGCGATTCTGTTGTTGAATGTCTAACATTCACATTCCAGCTCTAGTTTTTCTACAGTCAGACGAGAGAATAGGATAAAACGGCGTCGCACCGAGGCCATGTATATCGCGTACGGATGGCCGAAGGTTCTCCGAACGACTCGCGGTCCCGACGATCCAGTGGTCCACGTGGAGATCAGCGGTGGGCTCTTGATCGTCGTTCACTCCTCCTGCATTCAACTATGGACCTCAGGCCAGGTTAGTGTTCGAGCGACGCGTAAGGACCAGCAGCCTTTCAAGGAGATCAACGAAAGTGAAGCTCAAGCAGTCAGCTAGGATTAAGTCTTAAGGCTTTCGCCATGTGTAACGCAGTCCATGGTTCTAAGGACGTTTCCTGGTTTGGCAGCATGGTTTATTGACTGTGGCCTGGAAATCACTTCTCCGTTTCCAAAACAATGCCTACAATAGACGCGCAACCCTAACAGCTGGTCTGTTTGGCAGCCTTTTCCCTTGATCCTCTGTTTTACACCTCTTTTTCCCCGTGTTTTTCTTACGGCTCTCCCTTCAACGTCGCCAGCACCGGGTGAAGCTTGGCGAATTCGTGCGAGATGACAAGTCGCTGGAAGAAGACGGGGGCAATGCTCATGCCATATGGAACGAAGCTGTCGAGACCCTCGCTGTGCTGGTATGCTGGAGATCCTGGTTGTGATGGTATGTTGAGAATTCTGACAGTGTGGTATGTTGAAGCCTGCTCGCCCAGTTCTTAAACTGTCTTCTGATCTACATCAGTCTCCATAGACCTCCGTGGACCTCCATTGATCTTCTTGGACCTCCTACTCAACCGCTCACGTCATCCCTCTGCCTTTCCTTCTGTCTCCCCCCTCCCCTCCCCTCTTCCATGTCGCATCTCTTTCCCCGTCTCTTAAACTCCCTCAGACGTATTTTGAGTCGACTCAAAATACTTCTGTCTCCCCCCTCCCCTCCCCTCTTCCATTCTCATCTCTTTCCCCGCCTCTTAAACTCCCTCAGACGGCAGGCAGCGTGCTTCATTTCTACGATGTGCGCACCACACCCAAGCTGCTCCGTCTCGTCTCACCAAACTTCCGCCTCTCCTCCCCGTGTCACCCTTTCTCCTCTTACCCCATCTAACCCCTCTCCCTCCCCCCCCCCAACCCTTTCCTCCAGACGGCGGGCAGCGTGCTTCATTTCTACGATGTGCGCACCACTCCCAAGCCGCTGCGCCTGGTGTCGCCAGACTCCCCCCCCTCGCTGCTCGCCCTCAAGTTCCGCTCCTCCACGCGCGTGCCGCTCTTCGGGGAAGACGTCTCAATGTACGCCGCTTCACTCACTATTGTATTGCTGTTGTAAATGGACCAGTAGCTCACATGTTGATCTCCCCTGTATGGCACTCGTCTTTTCACTTGCCAACGCTCTGGCTGCACTGCACGTTCGCAAGGTTGCCTCCATCTTCACAGAGGGTGCCCCCTCCTCTCCATTCCCTTCCGCTGCCCCCCTGCCCCTCCCCTCCTTGTCAACCCGTCACCGCATCCCCCCCACCCACCCCTCCTCCCTTCACACCCCCCCACCTCCCTCCCCCCTCCCCTCCCCTCCTCTATCTCCCCCCAGCTACGGCATGTGGCAGATGAGGACCACATTCTCCTGGGCCTGTCCAGATCCTTTCCCAACCCCCCCGCACCCTTTCCCCCCTCCCTCTCCCCTCCCCCTCTCCCCCCCACCCCGCCCCTCCCGCCTCCTCCTACCCCCCCCCTCCCCCGTCCGTGCCCCTCAGCAACGGCATGGTGGCCGACGAGGACCACATTCTGCTGGGCCTGTCCAGTGGCCGCCTGCACCTTGTTTCCTGGCGGGGGCAGGTGAGAAAGTAGACTGAGTTGGTGAGGGAAGAGTTGGGGCAGGTGAGGGAAGAGTTGGGGCAGGTGAGGGAAGAGTTTCGGGCAGGTGAGGGAAGAGTTGGGGCAGGTGTGGGAAGAGCTGGGGCAGGTGAGCGAAGAAGCTGATTGGGCCTACGTGCGTGCTTCACCTCATCCCTCCCTCTCCTCTCCCGCTGCCTTTTCTCCTCCCCTCCATTTTCTCTTTCCCTCCTCCCTCCCCTCCTCCATTTTCTCTTTCCCTCCTCCCTCCCCTCCTCCATTTTCCCTTTCCCTCCTCCCTTGACTCCTCCTCGTCTCCCACCTCCCTTAATCTCCTCTTCCTCATTCTTCCCCTCCTCCCAGCTGCGCGGCACAGCGGACCTATGGCGCAAGCACAGCCGGGAGGTGATCGGCCCCATGTACGTGCCCGAAGCCAACGGCCTCCCAAGCACCCCCCACTCCCCGCGCTCCTCCCCCCTCTCCTCCTCCTCCTACCCCTACCCCTCCTCCCCGCCCGCCCTCAATGCTGCCCTTCCCACCACCCCAAACGGCCGCAGCAGCTTCACGGGGTCAGACCCAGGCGGAGGGGCAGGGGGAGCAGGAGCAGGAGCGGGAGGGGGAGGAGTGGCGCAGATGGTATACTCCCCGTTGTTACGCCTGATAGCAGTGGTGCTGCTAGACGGGAGAGTGGTGCTGTGCTCTACTGGGGAGAGGGGGCTGAGGCCCGTGGAAGAGGTGACTCCAGAGAAGTGGGTGGGTGTGGTGGACGCCGCCACAGTGGCTGTTGGGGCCAGGCAGCAGCTGCTGGCCGTGGGCAGCAGGAGAGGCACGGTCGAGCTGTTTGACCTCGCCCGGAGCTCCTTGCATCTACGCACCATCTCTCTCTTTGACTGGGGGTATGTGGTGCTTTTCTGTTGTTGTTTTGTTTTGTTTGGAACTTGCTGCTTGGAGTAGAGGCACCGTGGAGTGTTTCGCCGTTGCAGACTGCTCCCAATCACCGTGCCCCATTCTCAGTCCTCTCCATTGCCCCACCCCTTCCTTTCCCCACCCCTCCTGTCTCCCCACCCCTCCCCTCCATCATGCTCCCCTCCTTTCTCCCGTTCTATTCACTGGATGGCACGGGAGCATCGGCGTGCATATGCTGGTCGCCAGACAACCTAGCCTTCGCGGTGAGGTGGGGGAAGCCCAAGGGTGTGGTGCATGTCTGGCTGCCGCCTCATGCTCCCATCTCTCATCCTCTTCCCTAAAACCCTCCCACTACAAAACAGCTACTCACTAGAAGACACGGGAGCAGCTGCCTGCATATGCTGGTCGCCGGACAACCTGGCGTTTGCCGTGGGGTGGAAGCTGAGAGGGCTGGCAGTGTGGTCGGTGTCTGGCTGCCGCCTCATGCTCCCACTCCTCGTCCCCTTTCCGATAACCCTCTCCTGCCCTCTGCAGCTACTCACTAGAAGACACGGGAGCAGTTGCCTGCATATGCTGGTCGCCGGACAACCTGGCGTTTGCCGTGGGGTGGAAGCTGAGAGGGCTGGCAGTGTGGTCGGTGTCTGGCTGCCGCCTCATGCTCCCACTCCTCGTCCCCTTTCCGATAACCCTCTCCTGCCCTCTGCAGCTACTCACTAGAAGACACGGGAGCAGTTGCCTGCATATGCTGGTCGCCGGACAACCTGGCGTTTGCCGTGGGGTGGAAACTAAGAGGGCTGGCAGTGTGGTCCGTGTCTGGCTGCCGCCTCATGTGCACCATCCGCCAGGGCTCCATGAGCCTCCTCCCGCCCTCCTCCTCCTCCTCCTCCTCCTCCTCCTCCACCATCCCCACTGCTACTCCCGCCACCACCACCACCACCACCACCCCAACCTCCTCCTCCGCTTCAGACCCAGCCTCTACCCCAGGCTCGGCAGCAGCAGGAGCCGCTACAGCCGGGTCCGCTACAGCCGCAGTGGTTCGGAGCAGCGAGCCAATGGTGGGGGGAGTGGCAGCTGTAGCGTGGGGGGAGGAGGGGTACCAGCTGGTAGCAGCGGAAGCAGGGGTGGTGGGGGAGGTGGCGGCGGGGGTGAGGGGGAGGCAGGCGGGGCGGCTGGTGCAGTTTGCGTTCGCGCGGCAGTGCTCGAGCAAGGCAGTGGCGGGGAGCTCCCATGTGTGGCAGGCCATGGCGGGGGCGGACAGGGTACTGCTGGTGCAGAGCAACGAGGAGGAGGAGCTGCGGGTGCAGCACTTGGTGATCCCGGTAAGCATTTATGCGTATGTCCGTGCTTGTGGAGCTAGCTAGCTATACCAGTGAGCCTGCACGTGTGGCAGGCCATGGCGGCGGCGGACAGGGTGCTCTTGGTGCAGCGCAACGAGGAGGAGGAGCTGCGGGTACAGCACTTGGTGATTCTGGTGAGTACTCATGCCTAAGTCTGTGCCTGGAGTGGAGCTGTAGCAGGGAGCTAGCTGTAGCATGGAGCTAGCTGTAGCATGGAGCTAGCTGTACCGGGTAGCTCCCACTTGTGGCAGGCCATGGCAGGTCCAAGATGCCCCCCCTGACTTGGGCTATTCTGTAGGACTTGTGTGCCCCGCTTCCTCCCATGCAGCAAACGTACATGGGGGTCAACTGGCCTGTACGGCCTTGAATCTCTCACTCGCCATATCTCCGCCCTCCCTCCCTAACCCCTGGTTCCAGCAAACGTACATGGGGGTCAACTGGCCCGTGCGGCACGTGGCAGCGAGCGACGACGGGTCGTACCTGGCAGTGGCGGGGCGGAGGGGCGTGATTCTGCACAACCTGCGGTCGAAGAAGTGGCGCGTGTTTGGAGATGTGATGCAGGAGAGGGCCATCAAGTGCGAGGGGCTGCTGTGGCTCGGAAAGATCATCATTGTGTGCAACCACAGGGTTGCCTCGCACTCGTAAGACACACACACAGGTGGTGCTTCACACTCATAGTCCCATGCGTGAGTGGGTCACTGCAGTGAAGAGCAACGCTCAACCCTGAGGGGCTGCTGTGGCCGGGCAACATCATCATCGTGTGCAACCACAGGGTTGCCTCGCACTCGTAAGGCAGACAAGCACACACACAGTACCTCACTCACAGGCTCAGATCCCCAGTCACACTCGCACTGGGGGCGTTAAGTGCGAGGGGCTGCTGTGGCTGGGCAAAATCATCATCGTGTGCAACCACAGAGTTGCCTCCCACTCGTAAGACGCTCAACTAGAGGTGAATGTGTCCTTCGCTGCTATCTCCGTGCAGTGCCCTCCTTTTACTTGAACGAGTTCTCTCACTAATCTGCCACCAGCCTATCAGCTGTGTGCTGTGTGATGTGATAACGAGCGAGTTCCCCCCCTGCTCCCGCTCAGCTGAGTTTAAGGCGTCTCAAAACTCTGCTGCCAACCTATCAGCTGTGTTTCTCCTCGTTTACACCCCCCACTCCCCACACCCCCCCACCGACCCAATGCCCCACCAGCTACAAGCTGTGCCTCTACCCTCGCTTCCACCTGGACGAGTTGTCTCAGCTGTGCCGCCAGCTGCTGCCCCTCAGCTAGGAGCCGAGACTCTCCTCTCCCCTCCCTTAACCCCATCAACACTTCCCCTGCCCTTCTCCCTCATCTCCACCCCCCTTCAGCTACGAGCTCTGCCTCTACCCCCGCTTTCACCTGGACGAATCCTCCCTGCTGTGCCGCCACCCGCTCCCTGCCCGCCCCCTGGCTCTGGACGCATGGGGCGATTACATCCTGGTGGCCACGCCGCCCTTTGACATCCGCGTGTACCACATGCACGTGGATGGAGACGTGTCTCCGCTGCACCTGCCCACAGTGCAGGTGAGGTCTTCCCCCTGCATGTGCATGCACACACACACCCATTCATGAGTGGCTCTGGACGCGTCGGGCGGCTGCATCCTGGTGGCCGTGGCCACGTCGCCCTTTGGCATCCGCGTGTACCACATGCACGTGGAGGGCGACGTGTCTCCCTTGCACCTGCCCACAGTGCAGGTGGGTTGTTCGTGCTGTCATGGGACAGGCACAGCACGAGAGCTCTCCATAATGTCAGCCTGCAAGCCCCTTAACCTCCTTCTGTCCCGCTGCCTGTCCCTCAACCCCCCAACCCAACCCCTCTCCCTCTCCTCCACCAGTTGCGCACAGTAAGAGAGCTCTCAATCATGTCAGCCCGCAAGCCCCTCGTCTCCATGCGTTTCGTCCCGCGCACAGGAGTGGGGGAGATGCAGGGGGGGGGGGACCAAGAGGCAGAGGGGATGGGGCAAGGCGCAGGCAGCAGCAGCAGGGCAAAGGGCTCTAAACCTGGCGGCGGGGGGCTAAGAGACTCTAAAGCGAGTGGCAACGGTGGGGGAGTAAGGGATCCACTGGCAGCGGCGATGAGGCGGCAGCCGACCAAGTGCATGCTGCTGCGCACCGATGGGGATCTCTCATTGCTGGATCTGGACAGTGGCAGTGAGAGGGCGCTGGTGGCGGGCGTTGAGAACTTCTGGTTGACTCAGGGTGGGGACGAGGCTGCTGCTGCGCTCATTGAGGAGGTGCCCTGGTGGGCGTATGGGCACAGAGGCATGCAGGTGGGTTGCAGTGAGGTTCATCGGGAAAGGGACTTTGTTCATGCTTCAGCCTCTATTCTTCTCCCTTACTGCCCCCCCACACTCCCCTCTGGCGAGTGCCCCGCTGCCATTCCCTCGTCTCACCCTGAATTGTGTTTCTGCTTTGCTGCATCTTAAAGTCCCCTCACCCCCTCATCCCCTCAACCCCTCAATCCCTCACTCCCTCATCTCACGACGTGTGGTGCCTCTCTCTGCACCAGGATGCATCGGGCCGCCTGCACCAGCAGCAGCTAGAGCCAGAGCTCAACTTTGACTGAGAGCGGGGTGTCTGTCGCTGCAGCTGATCTGATCCCCAAGTCAAGTCAACCCAATAACCACCTCTCCAATCCCCCCTCCTTCCACCGTCCCTCACCTCTCTCTCTATTACGACGCATCGGGCCAGCCGTCTGAAGTCCAACAGCTGGAACCAGAGCTCGACTTCGGCTGAAATGGTTCAAACCCCCCTTTCCATTCCCACGCCGTGTGCCTGCAGGTGTGGTACCCCTCTCTGTACCACGATGCATCCGGCCAGCCGTCAGAGGTGCAGCAGTTGGACCCAGAGCTCGACTTCGACCGAGAGGTGTACCCGCTGGGGGTGTCGCCTGCAGCGGGGGTGATAGTGGGCGTCAGTCAGCGCCTGTCACTCTCCTCCTGCGCCGAGATGCCATGCTTTGAGCCCACGCCACAGGCGCAACCCATCCTGCCGTGCCTGCTACGGCACCTGCTGCAGGTATGGTGATGGTGAAAGCGCTAGCGAATGGCAGGTACAGCCATGGGAGATAGTGGGCGTCCGTCAGCGCCTGTTGCTGTCCGTGCTTTGAGCCCACGCCACAGGCGCAACCGGTGCCTGCTACGGCACCTGCTGCAGGTATGGTGGGAAGGGAAGCGAAGGGACAGGTACAGGCTATGGCCATTTAGGTTCCCTCTGTCCTGGACATGACTGGCGATTGTGCCGTGCCTGCTACGGCACCTGCTGCAGGTGGGAGTGATGATGGAAAGGGAAGCAAAGGGATAGTGATGATGGGAAGGGAAGCAAAGGGATACTGATGATGGGAACGGAAGCAAAGGGATAGTGATGATGGGAAGGGAAGCAAAGGGATACTGATGATGGGAAGGGAAGCAAAGGGATACTGATGATGGGAAAGGAAGCAAAGGGACAGGTACCGGCTATTGCCATTGAGGTTTCCTTACTTTGAACATGTCTCCTCCTCTCCCCTCCCCCTTCCCCTCCCCTCCCTCTCCCTCTCCCTCTCCTTCTCCCTCTTCCTCTCCCTCTCCCTCTCCATCTCCCTCTCCCTCTCCGTATCCCTCTCCCTCTCCATCTCCCTCTCCCTCTCCCTCTCCCTCTCTCCCTCTCCCTCTCCTCTTCCTCTCCCTCTCCCTCTCCCTCTCCCTCTCTCCCTCTTCCTCTCCCTCTCCCTCTCCATCTCCCTCTCCCTCTCCGTATCCCTCTCCCTCTCCATCTCCCTCTCCCTCTCCCTCTCCCTCTCTCCCTCTCCCTCTCCTCTTCCTCTCCCTCTCCCTCTCCCTCTCCCTCTCTCCCTCTCCCTCTCCCTCTCCCTCTCCCTCTCCCTCTCCCTCTCCCTCTCCCTCTCCCTCTCCCTCTCTTTCTCCCTCTCCCTCTCCCTCTCCCTCTCCCTCTCCCCCTCTCTCTCCCTTTCCCTCTCCCTCTCCCTCCTCTCCACCCCACCCCTCCATTCAGCGCAACAAGATGGAGGAGCCTATACAGCTGGCGCACCTCACTGCCACAGGGCCCCACTTCTCCCACTCCCTCCTGACTTCTTCTGAACAGCCCGCCCACTCTCTCCCCCCCCTCCTCTTCCCCCCTCCTCTTCCCCCCCTCTCCCCCCCTTCTCCCCCTCTCCTCTCCCCCCACCCTCTCCCCCCCTCTCTCCCCCCTCCTCTCCCCCCCGCCTCTCCCCCTCGTCTTCTCCCCCCCTCAGCGCAACAAGATGGAGGAGGCCATACAGCTGGCGCGCCTCTCTGCCACGCGCCCCCACTTCTCCCACTCCCTCGAGTGGCTGCTCTTCACCATCTTCGATGCCGAGACGTCCAGGTGGGTTCAGTGCGGTGCAGAGGGGTTTTGTGAGGCGTTATGGGTTCCCGTTGGTCAACTTCGTTACCACCCACTCCCCCTCTCACTCACTCTCTTCCATCCTCCCTCCTCCTTCCCCCCCCCACCCCACCCCCCACACTCCCCCTTTCTCCCCTCTCTTCTTCCAGTGCCAGTGTGTGGCACCGGCGCGAGGAGGGGTCGAAAGGGCCAAGCTTGTTGGTTGGGGCTGGGCTCTTCGCGCCCCTTATCGTCCTCCACCGCCGTAATTCCCCCTCCCGCTGCCCTGTCTTCTTCCAGTGCCAGTGCGTGGCACCGGCGCGAGGAGGGGTCGAAAGGGCCAAGCTTGTTGGTTGGGGCTGGGCTCTTTGCGCCCCTTATCGTCCTCCACCGCCGTAATTCCCCCTCCCGCTGCCCTCTCTTCCTCCAGTGCCAGTGCGCGGCGCCGGCGCAAGGAGGTGAAGAAAGGGCCAAGCCTGTTGGACCGGGCGTGCGAGCTGATTCGGCACTTTGGGGAGTACCGGGACGTGGTGGTCAGCGTGGCCAGGAAGACTGACAGCAGACACTGGCCTGATCTGTTCGCCTCTGCTGGCAACTCAAACACGTGAGACTTTGGGGGGTCTGAGCACATCGGATGTGGGGCAAGTGACACATGTGACAGTGGGGAGTATCGGGACGATCGGGACGTGGTGAGTGAGCGTGGTCTGGAAGAAGCGACAGCCGGCACTGGCCTGACCTGTTCGCCTCTGCTGGCAACTCAAACACCTGAGATGGTGTACTATGAGAACCTTACGCATATGACAATACTGGCGAATTTGGAGTTTCGGAAGGACAGGGAATGAAACAATGCTGCTGGGTTTGGTGCTGGCTGGCTTGCCATGTGGCTTAATGTTGGCCAGTGTTGGCCGGCCTGCATGTGTTGGTTCACCTTCCATTCTGACACACGTCTCCTCTGTGTTTCCCTGGTTGAGGCAGGCTCTTTGAGGAGTGCTTCGAGAACAAGCAGTATCGTACAGCCACATGCTACATTCTGGTACGTTCTGGATGGTGCGTGTATGTATGTACCCTGTCGGTCTGCCACATGCATTCCTGTTTCTTCCGGTCCCGTCCGCCCCTGCTCCGGTCCCATCCGCCCCTGCTCCGGTCCCATCCGCCCCTGCTCCGGTCCCATCCGCCCCTGCTCCGGTCCCATCCGCCCCTGCTCCGGTCCCATCCGCCCCTGCTCCGGTCCCATCCGCCCCTGCTCCGGTCCCGTCCGCCCCTGCTCCGGTCCCGTCCGCCCCTGCTCCGGTCCCGTCCGCCCCTGCTCCGGTCCCGTCCGCCCCTGCTCCGGTCCCGTCCGCCCCTGCTCCGGTCCCGTCCGCCCCTGCTCCGGTCCCGTCCGCCCCTGCTCCGGTCCCGTCCGCCCCTGCTCCGGTCCCGTCCGCCCCTGCTCCGGTCCCGTCCGCCCCTGCTCCGGTCCCGCCCGCCCCTGCTCCAGTCCCGTCCGCCCCTGCTCCGGTCCCGCCCGCCCCTGCTCCGGTCCCGTGTGTCCTCATCAGGTGGTGGAGAAACGAGAAGGCCTGACCGTTGCCCAACAAGCGAATATTTTTTAGGGGGCTCAAAAATAGTATCCGCTCCCTCCTGCCCCTGATCCCAGTTTTGAGGCGCCTCAAGACTAGCCTCCTGCCCCTGTTCCCAGTTTTGAGGCGCCTCAAGACTAGCCTCCTGCCCCTGATCCCGCCCCGTTCGTCCTTGTCAGGTGGTGGAAAAGCTAGAAGGCCCCACCATCGGCCAACAAAGCGCCCTGCGCCTCTTGCAGGTACCCCGTCGCTAATTTGTGGTTGAGTCGCCCTAATAGCAGGTACCCCTTTGCGCTTTTGCGGTTGAGTTGAGACGCCCTAATGGCAGCTCCCCACTGCTAGTGGCTATTTTTGAGTCGAATCAAAAGGTACCCCATTGCTTATTTGGGGTTGGGACGCCCTAGTAGCAGCTACCCTACTGGTAGTGGCTATCAGCCTGCTGGGTCCCTGACCCCATTCCCCACCTCCACTTTAGTTTCAGTCGCCCCCCGGTTCCCCTCCCCAAATGTCCTTCTTCCGCCTGAGTCAGGAAGCATGTCCTGTATGTTGTGGAAGATTTCTGAAATTTCTCTGAAATCCCTCACAACGAAGCATGTCCTGTGTGTGCTGTGGGTGTGTGCAGGTGGCGTTGCAAGAGTCGATGTACGACCTCGCAGGCGAGCTGGTGAGGCCAATGCCTTGGCTGCGTTGCATTGCTGCCGTTGCATTGTTGCTTGCCATTGCATCGCTGCCGTTGCATCGCTGCCGTTGCATCGCTGCCGTTGCATTGCTGCCGTTGCATCGCTGCCGTTGCATCGCTGTAGTCGGAGTATTGGTGGGCCATTGTGTGTGTGTACATGCATGTATGACAATGGGTGTCAAATGCTGGTGGCGTTGCAAGAGTGGATGAACGACCTCGCAGGCGAGCTGGTAAGACCAATCTCTCAGCTGCACTGCACTCATTCTTCCTGTTCCTTCAGTTCTGGCATGCCCTTCAGTTCTGGCATGCCCCCCTCCTATCCTCCTCATACCCATCCCCAACTCCCCTCAATCTCTTCCCCCGCATTCCTCCTCCCCCTGCCCCCTTTCCACTGGCCCCTCTCCCTCCTCCTGCTCTCCATCCGCATCCTCTCGATGCAACCCCTTTGCCATATCCCAGGTCCGCTTCCTGCTGCGGTCGGGGCGGGAGTACAGCCAAGCAGTGGAGGAGGACGAGAGGGCCAGTGAGAGCCTGCTCAAGAGCTTCTTTACCTTCGGCTTCACCTCCACGTGAGTCCGTCCCATCCCATCCCATCCCATCCCATCCCATCCCATCCCATCCCATCCCATCCCATCCCATCCCATCCCATCCCATCCCATCCCATCCCATCCCATCCCATCCCATCCCATCCCGTCCCATCCCATCCCATCCCGTCCCATCTCATCCCATCCCAACCCATCCCATCCTATCCCATCCCATCCCGTCCCGTCCACGTGAGCCCATCCGTCCACGTGACTCCATCCCTGCTCCAAGTATGCATTCAAATTTCCTTCCATTGCAGAGCGCCCAAAGCATGCGAGTCTCAACTCAATCATTTGTTTCCCGTGGCTTCACCTGTCACCCTGCGCCTGCGCTGACTCTCATTCGTCTTTCTCCCAACACAAGGCGGCGATAGTGACGCACGTACTGCTGGGTGGCTTTTGAGGCGATTTTTGAGTCGACAAAAAAATCTCCCAACACAAGGCGGCGATAGTGACGCACATAGGCGTCGAAAGCGTTTATGGCAACATAGGTACTGGGTGGCTTTTGAGGCGACTCAGAAGTCACACGATAGTAGTGACGCACGTACTGGGCTATGTTGCCATAAACGCGTTTGGCGAATATACGCTGGACGCTTCCCTAAAGTTTATAGCAACATAGGTACTGGGTGGCCTTTGAGTCGACTCAAAAGTCACACGATAGTAGTGATGCACACACTGGGGGAGAGGCAACCACCCACAACGTTTCTCAACGTTTCTGGTGGCGCTGATTCCTCAGCTGCCTTCTGCTAACCTTCCCTCAACTTTTCTTTTACTCCCCCCACCATTTCCCATAACAGACCGCCCAAGGCGCGCGGGGATGTGCTGCATGCGGCGGTGAAGCACATACTGGGGGCGACGCCCTGATGGCTCATGCCTCTGCTGCCCAGCGAACCTGCTCTGCTCCCAATTTATCTTCCCCGTCCCCCCCTAACAATGACACAGAGCGCCCAAGGCTCGGGGGGACGTGCTGCACACGACGGTGAAGCACATATTGGGGGAGAAGGCAACGGCTCTGATGAGCAGCAAGGAGCTGCGGCAGCTGGTGGCGTTCGTTAAAGGCACCCAGTTCGACTTCACTGTAAGGGGTGGCATGCATTTATGCTTACACACACGCACACACAGAAATATGTATGGGTGTGTGTGCACGCGCGCGCGCGTGGGCGTGCGTGTGCGTATCCGTGCGCGTGTCCGGGCGCGTGCGCATGTGCGTATGCGTGCGCGTGTGCGTGTGCGTGTAAATGTGAGAGATTCTAGGCCTTGGTAACGGCACCCAGTTCGACTTCATTGCGAAGGAGTCATTTCATGCCCAGTATTGCTCGATTTCTCTGAGTGTTAAGTCTGTAGTCCATGCCGCCATCCCCCATCCCCATGCCACTATCCCCCATCCTCATGCCACCATCCCCCATCCCCATGCTACCATCCCCCATCCCCATGTCACGCATCCCTACGATGCCACCCATGCCACATCCGCACCATGCCACTCATGCGCCATCCCCCATCCCTCTGCCCCCACCAGGAGTTTCTTCGGTCGGATCGGGGCAGGGCCATTCGCTTGGAGGACTTCCCCACTGCGCTGCGCACCATCCGCTTCAAGGTACCTTCTGAGTCGAATCGAAAGTCACCTCGTTACAATCCGCTTCAAGATAGCACCATCCGCTTCAAGATAGCACCGTCCGCTTCAAGATAGCAGCATCCGCTTCAAGATAGCACCATCCGCTTCAGGGTAGCACCATCCGCTTCAGGGTAGCACCATCCGCTTCAGGGTAGCACCATCCGCTTCAGGGTGGCACCATCTGCTGTAACTTTGGAGTCAACTGTAAAGTCACCTCGTTACAACGTCGCATGACAAGGTATCTCCATCCGTTTCAAGGTACCTTCTGAGTCGACTCAAAAGAGGGGGGGGGACGAGGAGGGGGGCGTTGGACAGGTAGGGATGGAGGGGAGGGGAAGGGCTTTCTCACTGCCCTGCGCACATCTACTTCAAAGTACTTCACACCTCTGTTGGAGGGGCAGGCGGGGCGCGGGGGGAGGGGGGACGGGGGGGGTTGGCTTGAGGATGGGGAGAGGAGGGGGAGGAGAGGGGTAAGGTGAGGGAAGGAGGGGGATAGGGGCGGCGATAGTCCTGTACTGCAACATGTGCTTATCTACTGTTGTGCCACTGTCTGTCATTCGCAATCTTTTCTGCTTTGCTTTTCTTAGATTTGATTCTTTTTGTTCTTCTGTCTCCTTTAACCGCAGTCGCTATCCCCTCACTCCTTTCATCTCCCCTCTCCCCTCTCCCCTCTCCCCTCTCCCCTCTCCCCTCTCCCCTCTCCCCTCTCCCCTCTCCCCTCTCCCCTCTCCCCTCTCCCCTCTCCCCTCTCCCCTCTCCCCTCTCCCCTCTCCCCTCTCCCCTCTCCCCTCTCCCCTCTCCCCTCTCCCCTCTCCCCTCTCCCCTCTCCCCTCTCCCCTCTCCCCTCTCCCCTCTCGCCTCTCCCCTCTCCTCTCTCCCCTCTCCCCTCTCCCCTCTCCCCTCTCCCCTCTCCCCTCTCCCCTCTCCCCTCTCCCCTCTCCCCTCTCCCCTCTCCCCTCTCCCCTCTACCCTCTCCCCTCTCCCCTCTCCCTCTCCCCTCCTCTCCCCCCTCCCCTCTCCCCTCTCCTCTCTCCCCTCTCCCCTCGCCCCTATCCCCATCCCCCCCAGCTCGCCATAGGGGGGAACCTGCAGAGCAGGCTAGACGCGGAGTTCCTCTTGGTTCTATGCGCCACCAGTACCTCCCTTCCTGCTCTCCCTCTACCCCTGCTCCCCATCCCCCTCAGCTCGCCATAGAGGGAAACCTGCAGAGCAGGCTAGATGCGGAGTTCCTCTTGGCTCACGTGCGCACCGTGGGCTTCCATGAGTGGACCGTGGTGCTCGCAACGCTGCTGCAGCGATCAGAGGTGAGGGGTTGGGCGTGGTGTGTGTGTGTGGGGGGGCTTCTACGAGTGGACAGTGGTGTTCGCAACGCTGCTGCAGCGATCGGAGGTAAGCGGTGAGTGCAGAGTTTTGAAGTGTTGTGCCGGATACACTGGCTAGATGCGGGGTTCCTCTTGGCTCACGTACGCACTGCAGGCTTCCACGAGATGACCATTGTCCCCGCCACACTGCTGCTGCCAGCAGAGCTGAGGGGTTGGTGGAGGGTTGGTAAGTGTTTTGCCCACCACAAATGTTCATCTTGGTTTACTTGCGCACTGTGGGCTTCCACGAGTGGACTGCGGTGCTTTCCACACTATTGCAGCCAGCTGTAGTTATTTCCAACGATTGATCCTGTTCTCCATCCCATTTTCTCCATGCGTCTCCCTGCAGGTGCTTGCAGAGCTCTTTCAGAATGACATGAAGCTGTGGACCGCTTATGTGAGAGCGCTCAAGGTATGTGGGGGTCTCTTGGGTAGTTTTGAGGCGCATCACAAATAGACTGCTCCCTTCAGGTGCTTGCAGCGCTCTTTCAGAATGACTAGTTTTGATTCGCCTCAAAACTAGGCTCTTTCAGAATGGCATGAAGCTGTGGACTGCTTACGTGAGGGTGCTCAAGGTATGTGGGGGGCTCGTTTCAAGCTGACTCCATAATAGTTTCTGAATTATTTGAAGCTCTGGACTGCATACATGTTAGTGCTCAATGTATGTGCAGCTGTGGATTGTCACTGCTGCTGTTGCTTATTCGTCTTTCATGCACATCCGTTGTCACTGCATCTTCTCACTCCTTAAAGCACATGCAATGTCATGGCATCGTTTTTCATCCAAGCACAAGCATATGGAATCTGTCAAACCAGAGACTGCCCTATCACTCCCATTGTTCGTCTCCCCACGAAGGCACACTTGAATGCGTTGCAGTACAGTAACTGCTGGCAGCATTGGAAAGGGACTGACATGGGACCCGACCACTCGGCCTTCTCCTCCACTCTGCTTGCTAACCACATGTTATCCCATTACCCCAATCGTGCCCGTTGTTTTTACAGGCACAACCAAATGCATCGCAGTACGATGAGCTGTTGGCGGCAGTGGAGCGGGACTTAACAGCCCATTTGGGCCCTGATCACTCTACTCTCTCCTCGACCGGTCTTGCTTTCCCTGCCACAGCTGCTCCAGCTAGGTGATTTGTTCTCAGGCAAAAAATGCCGACGCATGCGTATTTGGTTTAGTAACAATTGACTTTTTGACGAGTGCATAGTTGTGTGATGTGCATGAGCACATTATGCTTGATTAGGCGATTGAAGGTTTTCAAGGTTAGGAAGAGCAGTTAGCAGGCCTCAAAATTGGTTTTAGGCCACTCTTAGGAATCAGAGTGCCAAAAAAAAATTACCCTGCCGGTCAGAGTACAATTTTTCTCAAGTCTGATTCAGCAGGGTAGAACATTCGGCACTCTGGGTGCTCAGGGTAAAAAAAGCAGAACCCAGTTTCACGTTATGAAATGCACTATATTCCTAGCTACACTGCATGTCAATAATTAACATATGGAAATAATTAGCATGAACTAGGAACGTAGGCAAGGAAAATCACAACCACACGACCTACAGCACACTAGGATCCTCTAGTGGAACTGGGTCAGGGTCAGGGTCAGTCCTTATGGTGCCTGCATCTGCAGAAGCCGCAGCTGGAGTTGGGTTGGCATAACACAAGTCGCGCAGAGGCCGCCGCCGCTTCTCACCTCGGAAAACAGCTACCACATCAAACCAGTCAATCTGGTAGCACAGGAGCGAGCACCGCATCAAGTCGCCCAGGCTGTCATCGCCAAGGCACCCACGACTCCATGACTTGATCAGATTTTGCTTCGAGAAACCACGTTCGCACTCCACTGTGCTGAGAGGGAGCACCGCCAGTGCCTGCCACAGCTTGAGGATGTTGGGGTAGCTCCGCTGCCACTCATTGTTGTCCAGAGTCAAGGTGAGCCCCTGTTGAAACTCGTCATCTTTGTACTGCGACACCATGGTAGCAGTAAACACCCACAGCTCCGTGACGGCCTTGTTGTAGTCGAAGCCTACAGGATGGTGGGGTTGGGATTCAAAGGATAGGAAACAGTAAGCCTTTGAGGGGAGATGTGCAACGAATGTTGCTGCAAATGGATTGCGGGGACTGCAGCCTAAGAACGGACACGCAAGCATCGATGACAGGCAGCATCATCGAGAACAAATCTGTCTCACCTGGGAGCTTTCCATCGAAGAGGTTGTGGGACTGCTTCAGCCACTGCTTGCATCTCGCTAGGCGCAACTCGTCGTCTCGTGGGTAGGTCTTGGCTTTGAAGAGCTTGCATCCTTCCATGTTAGCCAGGTCCTTCAGGCGGGCACGGACGTTGGTGACGACATCGATTGCATGCTTCCGGCAGACTTGGGCGCAGGAGTCTAGGTCGCTCTTGGTGTTGTGCCCCTCCACCATCCGCTCATGCAGCACATACTCGAACGCCTGAGCATTCCCCTCCGAGTCAACGCCTTGAACGCGCACGCGGCGCTGGTCGGGCCTCCCGTGACGCTCCAGGAATTTCCCAAGCCTCTCGCTGCCGTTCCCGAAGAAGAGACCACCGCCGCACTTGATGTAGCGGTCGGTGATGCGGTTGCACGTGTTGTCCACCACTGAGGCCACGATTGTGAGATCCACCTGCAACGAAAACACAGAGATAATTTCAAAGCAAACAGGGCACCATGAACGACATGCAAAATAAACGTGCAAAGTATGACTGAGTGCCTAGATGCAAGCACATGGTACTGACGACATTCAACGATGAGAGGAGTGTCATACCTGGCGCTGCTGGAAGCGGGTGTTAAGGTGATTCAGCTCCTCCAGTATGTCGGCGAGGTAGTGCAGCATGAACTGCACCTTGAACGACGTCACAATCTCGAAAAGACCGCTGGGGTGATCACGCAGCAAGACGATGGCCGCCGGCAGCACTTCGACGAAGCGGATCACCGCCTCTCCGCGCGACAACCAACGTACGGCGTGGATCCCTTGCATCTCTAGATTGGTGTTGCAAAACACCAGCTGGAAGTTTATGAAGCTGAGGTGCTGATTGTTGGAGCGACCGACGAGCTCGGCGAAAGCACGGATGAGCATGTCGATGATCTGTAGCTCGGCCACAGCAGCGGCAGCATCCTTCGCCGCAAGTGCCTCTCTGGCGGGAGGAGTGGATTAAACACAAAAAAGCAATGAGTCCGACAAGCAGAGGAAAAGCATACGGTCAACGAGTACAACACTAGAACAGATGCAATGATTTGGAGCGTTCTACTGAAAACATGAGGGTAGCGAGTAAAACACCCCACCTATGGGCGATGCAGTGAACAGCCATCAGGTGCTCAATCCGCCTCTTTAGGCGGGTTACCACTCCCTGTTGCACACCGGTCATTACCGATGCTCCATCGGTAGCCATCCCGACGATCTTCTGGAGGTCGAGACCGATGTACTGCAGGTACTGTAGAAGAACCGCCGTCAGAGACGCCGCATCGGTCCGCTCGACAGTTAGCAGAGTGACAAACTCTGTGACTACCGAGTTGCCACGAAAGAACGTAGCATACAGAATTAGATGCTTCCCGTGCACGCGGTCCGTGCTTTCATCGATGGCGATGCCGACAAACGGGGAGCTCAGGATGTGGTGGAGCTGCTCGTCCTTCAGGTACTCGGAAATCGCCTTGGTCCCTTGCTTGAAGCCATAACTGGTAGGGGGAGATGGGAATGGATAGGCTACTGGTAAGAAAGTTGGAGAGCAAGTGGACACATACAAGGAAATTACGGCAACGTTCGATGTCTGCGGCGACATGCAATGCATTGACGGGAGAAGAGGGATTCGGATATCAAAACTCACTCCGTGTAGTAGGTCCCATACGCCCGACCCTGCGGGAGATCGGGTAAGCCCTCGGACACGAGGAAGTAGCAAAGCGCCACGTACATCGTGATGGGCGCGTCGGCCTTACAGACAAAAAGGGCGATATGGAAGCACCGGATGAGATGTTTCGTCGATGCATCTGTCACCGCCCATCGGTCTAGCGTCTTCTGCTGATCCGTCTCTTTCTCCCGTTCTTGCTGCGCCTTGACAGCCGCCTTGTGAGCACGTGTCCCAATGTGGATTCGGATGCTGCCCACCTGGAGATCGCGCGCACCCTCTCCTTTCCTGCCATATGAAGTGTTGGAGAAAGCATCACCGTACTGGAGACACAGGGCACATTTGAGGGCAGGTCGGCCGTTCTTCATACGAGTAAGTCGGAGCCACGGGAAGCGTCGTGACCAGTCGTCCACGAAGCGACGATTCACGACCTCATACTCCGCGTCGACATGAGAAGCGGGATTCTGGGGCGGAGTAGGAGCAACAGGCGGAGGAGTAGGCGGTGCAGCCGGCTTCTTCGGCGGTGGCGCCCAAGGAAGCCGACGCTGAGTCCATGGTCCGCAGTCCTTCCTCTTGGCGGGAGCGGTGGCGACAGACTCAGCAACTTCTGGTGCCTCGCCAGAAGTGCCTTCGCTGTGCAACAGGTTGAGGTCGATCGCCTCAGCAGCATGAGAAGAGCAAGGTGGGGACGTTGGCTCAAAAAGAAACTGTTGCGGAGGGGGTGCACGCTTGTCGAGCGAGGGATTGCGCGGCGGGGAAGGCGCAACTCTACGCGGCGGGAGGAGGGGGAAAACCCCAAGAACGCTGAGTCCATTCAGTGGGGGAGGGTCAGGAGGATCGGCAGCATCGAGCGCCATGGCTGAAGGACGATCCAGCTACTCGAAACTCTACTGGGTGAGGGAATGCTCGTTGCAAGTCAGGGGGCATGGTTTCTGGAAGAAACGTATGGAGAAGAAGGGCGTTTTGCGAGACACAAAAGGTGTGCAGTCAAGAGCCTCGTTTGGGACCGCTCAGCTCACAGGAAAAAACCTGTGAAGTTGCTGCATGCATCAGCATTCACTGTCGGCGCGCGAACTTGTCACCCAGCGAGGAAACAATGCTGCCACTCTAACCAATCGTAAGGCGGCGCAAAGCCAACGAGGTGGTACCATCAACACGTGCCCATGCGCATGTGATGATGGTGGGCAACAAACTTCGGACTGACGAGGGGCGTGGCGGTGGCGTGGCGGGCATCACTCGCACAAAATCTGGCACGTATCTTGCCTCTTTGGAGTTTCTGTATCAGGGTAATTTTCATTCTACCCTGACGCCTCAGGGCTGGGAGGCGCCTAACCCTGGTTCTAGCAGGGTAAAAAAAGGCGAACACTTTTTGAATCAGCCTTAAAAAAATTACAAGTCGGATTTTTAAGAGTAACATGAAAAATACCCGGAAAAATCAGGGCAATCAGGGCATTTCACCCGGCTATTTTGAGGCCTGGCAGTTAGTGAGGTTGGTGTATACTGTATCCAGGGCACAGTTCCCTCCCGTTTTCGTACTGTATTCCCTAAGCGCATTTACTCAGCAGCTTTTACCATTATGAAGGCATGATAATATTGGCGTACAGCTAGCTCAAGTTGCGCGAACATGGCCACCTAAGTTTGAGATTTGGAACCTTCTAGATCCTGGCGTGATGGGCGCATCCAATGCTGCACTGATTTTCCAGAGAAGCCGCGCGGGCACCCAATTTCCAATCGCCCAAATCGACGGTTGCGATTGACTGTCAGCATCTGGCAGCACTGGTGGTGCTCGCCAATGCTTGTGAGCAGTGTCCACATGGGGTCTCCTCCGGGGGGCGTCCCATCACAACTTCACGTGAAGCTTGAGCTGGTTGGGCCAACCCCTCGAGGAAGAAAAACTTCGCATCATTATCCCAAGTGTTCCTTTCATTTTATCTTTATGTCGCATGGACTGTTTCGCGTCGCTGGACGAAGGCATGCGACCTTGTGGGCAGTCACAGCGATAAGCTTCGGTCCAATGATGAATGATCCCGTCCTTTTGCTGTCGCAATGCCAAGCTTCTTATTCGCCAGCTCAAATGCCAAGCTAGCACGGGTGCTGTACAGCTGTACTGTACACTCTCGCGGTCCCCGAAAGGCTTCGTTTGATGGGCGGGATCAGTCCTGCACCCTGAGGCCCCGCCCCACCTCAGGCCCGCGGCCTGACCGGGTGAGCCTGAGCGCTGAGCAAAGCACATGCGTGCAGGGCAAGTGCGGAAAAACACTTGATACAGTACAGATGAAGTCCTTTTCGAACGGGTACTCCAGAGTCGATCACAAAACATCTATGGGGCGAAATGGGCCAATACACGTTATATTCTATTAGCGCAAGCTCCAGGAACGTTGGAATTGCACCTATCGATTAGGCCCGTACGCCTGGGGCAAATGTGCCCTTATCGATTCCCAGAATGTAGGGCCTCTGTCCGATGCGTATTGTTCAGGGGCGGGCACCGTGGCGGATGCTGCGACAGCTCTGGAAAGTGCAGGTCGCACAGGTTTTGCCATGCGTAAACATATCACAACCATAAAACAGTCGCCAGAAGCCATATCCAAGAAGCACATAAGCCGACAACAAAATCACCCAACACCAACCAAGGGAAAAATCTAAAACACATAGGCCAATAAAACAGAAATAGAGCGGAACACAAGACAACACAAGTCAACGAAGTATGGACTCCGACCCATGCCATGCAGCGTCCGTAAGGCGCCTAATCCGGAGCCGCGGGATATTAAGTCGTGTGCCGCTCCATTGGCAAGCCACTGTAGGTCATCCACTCATCCGAGTCGGAGAAACCAGACATGACAATTGTCGCCTCCAGGACCGACTCGTAGTATGCGCCGTCCACATCTTGTTGTGTGGCATTGGTGTCGAGGCGCGGCGACGCGCGGTCGAGGTGTTCGATGACCGTCGGATCATGGATATCAAAAAGGATCCGGAGGTTTCGAGGAGCGAGATTGAGGCTCCCCGCATAGCCTATCAACATCTCAATCGCCATACTCGTGAGCCCCCGCCTGCCACAGTCCGAGTCTCCGAGATTGGCTGATGGCTGAGCGCTCACGAATTACGCATCTCGGACAGGCGCCGCAGCCGGCTCTTGCTCTAACAAGTCGGTGCCGCGTGGCAGATCCGTTTGCTCTTCATGGTCCGCATAGACGAACGCGACAGCGGCGTCGACCCAGCCTTCGGGGACAAAGATGAGCACGTTCATAACGTTCTGGACGGCTATGATGTCCGCGCCCAGAACGTGGTCGTTCTCTAGTAGCGCCTCATCGAACTGGGTCAACAGTGGCTTCCAGTTTTGTGGAAGTATGCCGGCCCTCCAGAAACACTTCTGAATTGTCGACGTATCGATGCCGATTTGTGGCGTCGTATATTAACTCGGTGACACGAGTCATATCCGGCTTGAACTTGATGAGCGCGTCCACCGTCATGCCGGGCTTCGACCACTCAATGAGGATGGCCCGAAGCAGGGAGGTCTTGTACTTGGCCTTGAACGCCGCCATTATTCCCTAGTCCAGCGGCTGGGTGAACGGTGTTGTATTTGGTGGGAGGTACACGAACCGAACGTGGGAAAACGCGCATGTGCGGAACCCGTACACGTCCTCGGTCCTGGCAAGCGGGGATTGCAGGGTATGGCTCGAAGCATTGTCGGCTATAACGGCAATGCTTCTCCTCTCCACCATGCAGCACGCGTTGACGTTCTCGAAAAATAGCCGAGAATACATGCGCGCGCAAGCGAGGTGGAGTTGGTGGTGAGTGATTGAACATGGGATTAATAAAACCGAGAAGCAATCATTCACAGCTGCGAACAAAAACCACTCTTCTTGATGTACCGGTACCGTCATCCAGCCATTGGCGTTGGCCCGCCAATGGCAAAACCTCGCCGAATTGAAATTCTCGCGTGCAAGGCAGCGGGGCCGCTCATAACGGTGATTTATGAGCGGTTTGTAAATCATGGACCCGTGCGCATTCATAAGGAGCGCCACTGTGAGCCGCTCCTTCTGAGTCTTGGTGCCTGGGGTCGCCTCGTCGCAGAATGTATGCTCGGGCAACATCGCCCAGTAAACGCGGGTCTCATCGAAATCGAGCAGATTCTTAGGGCGTATGCGAAGCGTATTACATAAGCAGGGAAAGTGCAGCTTGGCGAAAAGCGCAGCACGGGCATCTGAAGATTTAGCTTCCCCTGACATTTTCCGCCACTTAAAGCCCATTTGATGCAATGCCACTTGCACCCATCCGACACTGGCTTTGAAATCGAACGGCACGCCGCAATCTGGGGCGAACGCGGGAGCTTGCTGCTGAATCAGAGCGGTAGTTATCAGGAGGCCTGCGCGATTCGCGTTGCGTAGCGAAGTTCTGAGACGGTCCTTGAGTGTTGGTCATAATGCATTCTTCAGCCTTTTGAACTTGGAGCTCTCTAGGTCAAACACCTTCCAGCGTACCTTATCCTTAATGATTCGGCTAGGAGTGCTACGGTTGGGCCATAGGCCGTATCTTGTGCGGCACCTGTTGGTGAGGTCGCTCAGGCGCAATGTAGAATTTTTGTTCGCGTACTCACAGATGGCAATTTTCTGGGCCACCGTGAAAGCGACTCGATGACGGTAAATACACCCACGAGCAACATTTCTCCTAAGGATAGATTACGGGGCTAGCTCCATCGCATCTGGATGGCGTGCTCCGATTGGGTTATGCTGACGGAGGTCGCCTGACTGCTCCATCGGATTTCGTCAGTCGCCATGGAGCTTAATGATTGGCAGAAGGAATGCATGCCACGTCTATAGGGGATTTCAAGGGCACCAAGTGGCGATTGGTTAGATTCCCTCTCACGACGCAATTGCAATTGGTCGCGGGCCAATGCATGAGCTAGAATGTAGCTGAGGGTTAACGCAGTTGGTTGCGACCGTTAACTTTATCGTGCGTGGTGTGTATTCTAATTGGCTAGTTTCACTTCTTATTGAGTACAAGGGGTGTGCGCATATGGATAAATTGCAGCTGTGGAATCGTTGCGTATTCTAATAGCATATGAGATGTATATAGTCGTCTGGTTACCTATTTGGCATTTTTCAATCTAAAGCGGGTGACCTTGTTGTTTCTTCTGCATTCCTCGGGCAACAGTGTAAGGCCTCAGAACGTCCCGTCTGCCCGTTTGGAGGTCTTGGAATCAGATGTGGTCACTGTTGGAGATCTGTGGGACTCTGTGGGTTGGGCCGTTGCCCGTGTGTTCGGACCAATGGGCCTGTAGATATACACGTAACGTCTAATGAATGAGCGGTTCACTGGACTAACGGTGTATTTACACCTGATTATCCTGTTCAAGAGGTAGGCAGTCCAAATGAAGACCGCTAAAAGCCCGTCCAAACATAAGGGAGTGCAGTGTGAGAGAGTCCCGTCAGTGAATGTGTGCTCTGTGGATGTTGGAGGGTGTCACATGCGCTTCTGAACCAGGTGTCCACGTTTGCGAATTGAGTGGGCAGGGCAAACACCATTCACCAATCATAACTTCGTAATGTACAGCTGGACTGGGCACATTGCGCAGTTGTATAGATTTCGGCATCTTTCTCAGCCAGCTGCACAGAACTTATTTCCGCCTCACGGAGTGTCAAAAGAGTTCGTCACCGCAGAATGCCATACTCAACCGCTCTCAGGGGTTTTTAAAATGCTCTAGAACGTGGAACACCTTACTTCACCTGACTTCTGCGACACGCCCTGAGTTGATGAAGACCAAAACATCTGAGAGGTTCATGAAGACGAGGTGATACTGTAATGAAGCAGTGCAAGCAAGCAGACCAAAAGCAACTGAATTTTGCGGGCCGTTTACGGGATGTTGTGCGCGCAATCCCTGGCTAAAGTTGAGTTCACACATTGGATTTGGATTTCGCCCACTCCCTTCCGTTGTCTAATAGAAGCACAATGCAGATTAGCTTACGAATCAGCAGATTCACCCAGCCAGCGCCATTTCAATCACAGAATAACGCATGTCTTGAAACCCGCTCCGAAGCCCTTCTCGAACGCCAGAGTAAGGACTACTCAGTTCGAAAAACTTGCCAACCGGCGCCCCTCTGACCTGCGTTTCAATGTCGCAATCTCCACACAAGGAGCCGTTCTCTTTCCCAGCGACGCAGCTCCCGTCCGCGACGAGACAGAGGGAAGAAAAACGTACCGTGACGGCTAATAGGCAGAGTCTGGGGAACTCTAGTTGTAGCGCGTCGCCCAGTAATGAGTTATTGAGTAGCTTCAGCGGCGTCGCTGTGGCTGCGGAAATCAATGGCGAGGCCCAGGCCTCTCCGAATAGCCATCATGCTGCGGCATATCCCGCCGCGAACTGCTCTGGCGTTGGCAACGCTCCACTGCAAACGGGCCGTTACCGTTCCGAGTCGGAACACAGTGGCAGTGGCAATGAGTCAATCCGCTGCTTCCCAGCTAATGCTGCAGGGCTCGGCGCGGCTTACAGACGGACTCCGTCAGGCGCTTGTGCTTGAGGCGATGCGACGTCGCGCGTTTAACGCTTTCAGTCACGTCGATTTTGATCACGGCGCTCTCAATCGCGACGCTGTTGACAATGGCGCGGCCCTTGCCCTTGCCTCGATTGTTTCGAGAGGTAATACTGCTAGCAATAGCCAGGCCCACTCCCGCGCGTCACTGCCTAACGCCGCGCTAGCAGTCAGAGAGGCTAGCGCTATCGACGCCGCAACCGCCGCCGCAACCGCCGCCGCATCAGCCGCGACGGGTCGGCTTGACCAACTGAACCGTCTTCCGCGGAGGCATAGTTTCCAGGACGGCGACTTCCGTCATTCCCCCCAGCAACCGCTGCATCTCCCGCCGCAACAACGGCTGCATCCAGCACAAGAAAACGCGGCGTCGCCACTGACACGGCATCACGCCGCGGCTTTGACTCCGTATTCTGCTCAAATGGCGGAAATGACGTCCATCGTACCAGCATCATTCTTCCCGCAACTTACCCCATCGCCGGCACCTCCCGTCACTGCGACTACTACCGACGGCGTCTTCACTGCTGGTGCGGCTGCTACCATTGCTGCTATGGCTCTCGCGGAGGCAGCCATCCCAAGTCACACCCCAGCCACAGCTTTGCGAGACTCCCAGCGTCCTACGCCAGCAACCGTCCTTGCTACCGGCGCCGTCACAGGTGCAGCGACAGACATCTCGCTGGTGTCACCACTCGCACTGCGGCAAACTCCCTTCAGCGCCGGCAATGCCTACGCGTCCATATCGCCAACCCAACAAACCACCACCCGCTTTTCGCCACCGCACCCACGCCCATCCTCGTTATTGCTCGCCCCGCGTTCGCCCGACGCAGCCTCCGCATCAATGTCCCAATCCAGCCGCCCATCTCTCTCTCCCGCCAGCAGCGTCAGCACGGCCAGCACCGGATTCCCCGCCGTGATCGGCGCTGCCCTAAGTCCGTCTCCTGCGTACCCCGGCGAGTCGGACTCACTCGAGCTTCGAGTGGCGCGAGGGACGGATGTCACTGAAAGCGCCATGTGGCGGCTGTGTGCCGAGGAGGTGGAGCAGCTGAAAGCGCTGCTGCTTGACGACGCCGATTGCGGGGCGCAAGGGGCGCAAGGGGCGCAAGGGGCGCAAGGGGCGCAAGGGGCGCCGCCCGAGCGGCTGGGGCAGCGCGCCGACGAGCAGCCTGCTGACAAGAAGCGAGGAGCGCTGGGGCAGCGCGCCGAGCATGGTGGCACGAGAGGGTTGTTTCCTGGCAACGGTGGGCCGCATGACCCCGCTGCGACTTGGCTAGTACCAGCTATCCCGCACCACCAGCAGCAGCAGCAACAACAGCGGCAAAGGCCGTCTCAGCAGGACGACCCCTATCGACAGTACTTGCTAGCTGAAATCCGCAAAGCACGCGCGGCCAGGCTCTCTCGCGACACCACCGCAGCTTGTATCCCAGCACCCAAAACCCAGGACCGCCCTGCTGCTGCCCACGACGAGCCAAATGTCCCAGTCACTGCTCCCCGAAAGACGTTCTTTCCCGCAGCAAGCGCGGCAGCAGCGGCGGCAGCGGTGGCGGCGGCGGCAACGAGCCTACAAGTTGACGCGAGCTTACCCACACACAGAACGGCGAATATATATCCTGGGACTACGGCCCTTGAAATCGCGGGTACTACATTGGGCACTACACGAGACGCCGTGTCCTCCGACACTGGAGGCGAGCGGAGCATGGCGCAGTCGACGGTGATGCTCACGCCCCTAGGGATCCTCGCGCTGTCGCCGCAAACAGACCCGACCAGCTGCAACCCCACTGAGTCCGCCGGTCCGGAGTCCCCTTGGGAGAACACCGGGGTGGTAGTTAGCGAGCAGGCGGAGGCAGCGCGGGAAGCGGAGGAGCAGGAGCTGCGGGACATCTGCAGCATGCTGTTCGCGGCGGGCGCGCGGGAAGCGGACTCGCTCTTGCAGGGTGCGCTCGCAGGGGGGGCTCACGAGACGGCCGTAGCTGCCAGCGGTCGTGGCTGGGAAGTCCCGGGAGCTCAGTCAGGGGAAGCACGCCCGCAGCAGCACGCAATGCCTCAGCATCCATTGCCGCCGCACGCATCACCGCAGCACGGATTCGCTCAGGATATAGCAGTGGCAACGCAGGAGGCGGCGAGGTGGGTAAATGGCAACGAGCCCCTCGCCGCTCAGCCGCGGACGCCCGCCAGCGCTGCCACTACCAAGTCCCCACCGGGAACCTTCAAGCAGCCGCAGCCTCGGGCGCCGAAGGCGGAGGCCCTCTGCGGCAGTGGCATGGTGGTAACGGTGCGCTGGACTTCCGAGCAGCTCCAAGGTGATAATCTCCAGCACACCATGGCGCAGCTCCGAACCCTCTATGCCGGGTCTTCGTCATCGTCACAAGTTGGGCCAGCAGCAGCAGCAGCAGCACCAGCAGCAGCAGCAGGAATACTACCAGGTGTTCAGCTCAACGTCAGCTCTGCTGTCGGAACTGCTTGTATCGGAGCCAGTGGGGGCAACACTGCAGCACTGCTACCTGCGTTCAGGATCCCGGCAGACGCAGCACTCGCTCCCACCATGGTCGACCGGGCAGGAAGCTTATCGAGCCCGCTGCAGTCGGCAGTAGCCCTTACTAGTATGTCTAGCAGGCTCTCGGGTGAAACGAACCTACGATATCCTGACCCATTACGAGGCTTCGGCGGGGATTTTAGCGAGACTGGGGCGTGGCCGGAGCTCTTGGCGGGACAACTGCCGGTTTGGAAGCCTGCGAATGTTGCTACAGCTCGCGTGAAAGTCGACGGCTTTCCTGGATTTTTCCCGCGACCGGCCGCGCCGTGGGATGGGCTGCGATGTCTGGTGTGCGGCGCGGAGCTAAGCGAGCAGAACACGACAGGGGCTAGAGGGTTACCGGAACACGTGGGGCCTCAGGGCTCGGGGGGGGCGACGATCGGACTGCGAGTGCACGGGTGCAACGAGTGCCTTCCGCTGCTCGTTCCGAGGTATTACAGGAGCGTAGAGCGGGAGAAGGCGCGGAACTCACCGAGTGGAGTTGCTCCTGCCGGTGGCTTGGGAGGAAGGCAAGAGCGCGGAAGGGGGGCAGGAGGAGATGCGGATAGAGGAGGAGATGCGGATAGAGGCGCTGGGAAACCTACAGGTTCAGGTGCTCTTGGTGGTGAAACGCGGGAGGATATGGAGCAGGTGGGTGTGGGAGTTGGAGGGGGGAATGTTATGTGGGAGATAGCCAGGGAGCGAGTGAATGTGGAATTTGCAAGGAACGTGGAGCACGAGGGGAGGGTCATTTCGCCTCATCGTGACAAATTACGCGTTGCTGAAGGAGACGTGCATGCGACTCGGAATGCCCCAGCGCTTAGCGAACCAGGATGCGAAAGCGAGCTGCGCTCTTCGCGGTCGTCGTCTGCGAATGGGCTTCGTCGTTCGCGCAAATTCGCCCGATGCCGTGAGTTCGCATGACGCTGAGGAAGTAGCTCAGGCGGATTTGAAACGAAAGCGCACCTAGTTGCGAAAGATCTGACGACGATGTAGCGACAAACGTGCAAACTGTAACAGCTGCGGCTGAATTTGAATATTTGAACATACAGGTTGAAATTGTGCAAAGACTACGTTACGTTACAACAGTTTTCGTTACTTCGCGAGCCGCCGCCTGAAGCAGCAGCCTAACCAGAACCACATTTCAATTTTCAGATCCATCCACCTTGCCTCTTTTCATCCCACCTCCGCCGCACCCACAATCGTAGTTCTCTAAAAGCTAGGGTTTCTATCTAGGGAACAGTGTCGTCCTAGGGACTGTCTAGTTGCTTGTCCCGCTAACGAGCCTTCGATTCGAACACCAAGTAGCCATGTCGCGGCCATACAGTCCCGAGCGGGGTTACAGCCCGGAGCCGCGTCGAGGGCCCGGCGGGCGAGGTCCCCCGCCGGACAGAGACAGGAGCCGCAGCCCGCCGCCGTACAGACGGGGACCGCCGCCGCGGAAAGAGCGCGTCAGCCTGCTCGTCAGGAACATTCCGAGAGATACCAGGTGATCATTCAACCTTCACCGGATAAGCTCGCAACTGACTAGGTTTCGTGCTCGCTTGAAGCTCGTTTTCCATGTCCCTTGCATGGTGCGCTTCGACGTGGAACTTTTTTGCCTGCGATGAGCGATAGCGATTAATTACAATGCATCGCGTTATGTCAAGCTTTTACATTAGTGTGTTTTTTGTTTCAGGCCAGAGGATCTGCGCGTGCCTTTTGAGCGCTACGGACCGATTAAGGATGTCTACCTTCCGAAGGACTACCATACAGGGTGTGTTAATATGTCCATGTCTCTTAATTGGACCGATCGACCTGTGCGATTGGTATGCTCTCTTGCTTTGTTTTGTATGGTTCTCTGTGTGCCCAAACCTCCTGAGAAAGCTTATGCTGCTTGCCACGCCGCTCAATTTTAAGCTTTTGCGGGTTTTTGGGAATTACGGCAGGGAAGGGAAGAGGCAAATTGTTATTTGGTCAAGCTTTCAAGTCTCAGAAGTCGCAAGGCTGGAAAGATGAGCTTGAAGCGAAGCCAAGCGAAGCCAAGCCAAGCCAAGCGAAGTTACGGAGTTACCAGGAATTAATTCTTGCTGATTTGAAGCGAAACCTAGAAGGGCAATCGAAGAGAGGAGAGGCTTGCACAAGCGAAGTGACACGAAGGGCCAAGCCATGCAGGTCGATGCGTTCGGTTCATGGCGGTTCATGGCGGTTGAGGCGTGAATCAAGGACGTCAGAGGCAGGTTGCATGTCACGATTTGACATGGCAGGTTGGTGGTGGGATGTTCATTGTCACACTCGCCTCTCGTGTTCCTCGTTTCTTTCTTTTTTCTCCTCTTTTCCTTAGCAGCCTTCTCCCTCTCTCTCCCTTCCTTCACTATCCCTCGTTCTTACCATGTACTACTCTGCAACATTTTTTTACTTGCGCTGACTCCTTCATACAAGCTGCTGACGAGCTTCTGCTTGCGTTCTCTCCTCTCGTTTGTCGTGACTGTCGCAGGGAACCACGAGGCTTCGGATTTGTGCAGGTATTCTGCTTACCAGCCCCGCCTTATCGCCTTAATAAATTAATTTGCTATCTTTATTCTTGTTATGTTTAATCAGGAACTGAATTTAATGTTGTGTCTGTTCGTGGTCGTGTTTTCGCTACCGGTTACCAGTTCGTGAACATGGCGGACGCGGAGGACGCGCAGTACGAGCTGGACCGCACCAACTTCAACGGCCGGGAGATCACGGTGGTTTTCGCGGAGGAGAATCGCAAGAAGCCCGACGAGATGCGCACGCGCGAGCGGTACAGGTGAGATGCGCCCCAGACAGCGGTGCTGGTGAGATCAGAGAGCGGTGCATGTGAGATGCGCGCCAGAGAGCGTTGCAGGTGAGATTGCTCTAAATTCGTTGATGTCGTCTTATACGCAGCTAGGCGACTGGTTTGTGTGCGCCCCATGCCATCCCCCAAAATTAATGTTTTTTTTTTTTTGTGTATCCATATGTCTCGGCGTGCTTATGTGTGCACGTGTGTATGTGTGGGTGCGTGTATATGCGTGGTCTGCTATTGTTGTTCCCAGCGACCGGGACCGGCCATCATACGGAAGACGTCGGGGCTATTGTGAGTATTGCTGTTGGGTAGTCCTATAGTCAGCGAAGTCATTGCCTTGGACTAGTTCCGCTCCTTCGTTTTTCCTAGCATGCTCAACCATCACGCTCTTAAGACCCAAAATACTTTCGCTCTTCGTTTTCTGTAGCATGGCCAACCTCCGCCCTCTGCCTCCCCCGCCCCCCTTCCCATTCCCACCTCCCCCCCTCCTCTCACCCCTCCTCCCCCCACTTCCAACCCCCCTTCCCTCCCTGCTATATTCATCCCCCCCTCTCTCTGTGACGTCACCTTCCCCCTGATTCCGATTCCCGTGTGTCCCCCCCCCCCCCCCCCCTCAGCGCGGTCGCGTTCTCGCTCGCCTCCCGGTCGTCGCTCCTCGTACTCGCCTCCTCCCCGCCGTCGCTCTCGCTCTCCTCCCCCCCGCCGCAGCGGCCCTCCCCGCAGGTAGATTCCGCCCCCTTCTCTCACCTCTTCCTTGCAACCGTCTCGTTTTCTCCCCCATCCTCCCCTTTTCTGCACATGCCCATTACTACCTTACGCTGCTTCTTCTTTTGTCAGGTTAAAATTGCTTGATAAGGGCAGACCTTATGCTTGATAAGGGCAGACCTTATGCTTGCTGGGCAGGGCATGTGACTCATGTCTTATGCGCCATGCTACCTGCTGCTTCTTCCTGAACATCCTCCACTCCACTGGCCTTGAGAAGGCTGCAGGACCCTCCTTCCCCTCCCCCTCCATGCAACCCCTCCAGGTCCCCCAGCTACTCCAATGACGACTGCAGCTACATCCGCTCGCCCTCTCTTGTCCTTAGAGCCGCTCGCCCTCTCACATATCGGCTGTGTCACTGCATGCCTTCATTCCACCCCTTTTTCTTGAATCACCTTTCCATGCAACCCCTCCAGGTCCCCCAGCTGCTCCAATGACGACCGCAGCTACAGCCGCTCGCCCTCTCCCCGCGGCCCGTGCGCGCTCCCCGCCCCGCGGCCCACCTTCCAGGTATGTGCTTGCTTTCTCTGCACCTGCTTCCTCCTAGCAGGCCTCCTCTCAGACTCCAGCACAAGTTTAAACACTAGCTTTGGATGCTGCTTGGTGGGTTGGGCTACCAGTATGTTAGTGAGATATGTGCGATATGATGCATCTCTTCACTTAGTATGTCTTTTGTTTCCCGTTCGCTCTGCAGGGGCCCAGCTGGCAGTGGAGGGGCAGGTGGGGTAGGCAGACCTGCCAGGGAGGACTAGATGACAGGGACGGTTGACCGAGTCAGTGCGGGTGGTCAGTGCACTTTATCCACTGTTGGGACTGGAAATCTAGGGAGATGTGGAGATTGTATGTGAGGGTTGCAAATAGTTCTGTGCAATGTTTGTGTCGGCTGAGGTTGCATAAATGAGTTAGCTTTTGTGAGAAGAGGAGAACACTTGTTGGTGTGGTGGGGATGCAGCAATCAGAATCTGCTAGCCGATAAGCTTCCCTTGGTGACCTAGTACTTCTAAAACAGTGTCTATCGGTCAAGACTAGGATGTTGCGCAGCTTGCTGAGCTGATGGTGCGGCTTGCGCTGCCAGCCACACCACGTGTTGCGCAGAGTCCTGGAAGCTCATCCGATCCAATCTAATGGCAAGCAGTAATCAGAACAGCTGCGCAAGCAGACTGGTGTTGGCGTCACTGAAGGAGCGCAGCCCTGCTGGCTTCACCACCATGCGGCACAGCGGACACGTGCGCTCCCTCTCAAACCTGCCACAGGCATATGCATGGTAGCAGATGGCAATCAACCGGCATAGATGCATTGACCATGGGAGGAGTGATCAGTGAGAGTAAGCCAGTCAGCCACACTCAGGGAGGGATGTATTGACCCTATAAACAAGCTACCATGCAAAAAGCCATGGATCATTCGATTAATGTACATCTCAAGGTGTGAAGGATGTACGAGGGACAGCATACCATTCGGAGACGCATTCGTCGCAGAAGACGTGGCGGCATCGCAGTGTGACAGGCCCGGTCATGTGCTCCTGGCATATGGCGCACATGCTGCCTGCTGCCGCCACCTGGTGTTGAAGGTGGGTGGGGGGGGGGGGGGGGAGGGGGAGGGAGGGGGAGGGTGGGGTGGGGGGAGAGGGGAGATAGGGCGTGCTTTTGAGTTGCTTCATATGCGCCAGTCATGAGCTCCTGGTATATGGCGCACATGCTGCTGGCTGCTGCCACCTGGCGTTGAATGGGGAGGAGGGGAGGGGGAGGAGGGAGAGAAAGAAAGGTTGTGCTTTTGAGCTGCTTCACATGGAGCATAACAGGCCGGGTGTGTGGTCCTGGCATATGGTGCACGTGCTGCCTCTGCTGCTGCCACCTGATGGGGGATGAGAAGGAAAACGAGAGGTAAGTGGATGAGGGAGAGGAGTGAAGCGTATCAGAATACGGAGATTGTTAGGGCACCTCAGGTTTGACTTCTCCTGGTGGCAGGAACATGACAAAAAGGGGTGGCTGGGAGTTTATTATGTCCAATTGACACAATAAAACTCAGAGTGATGCACCTCATGGGCGAAGAGAGTCTGAATATAGAACCCATGCACCCCAAAGAGTATGATTCTGCAAGTCTACGAAATTCCAAGGGAGCATACATGCTTGGCCATACACAGTTCAAGTATGGGCTCTGTACCATACTCCACAACAACGCTTGATATGTCTGCTGCTTGCGCGTACCTTCTGGCACATACCGCACGACTCAGCTTTTCCCACTGCCCGTTATTAGTGGCCTAACAAGCACTGTCCTTAATTCTTTCATGGCCGGTGCCACTTCACAGCACTTCACCGTCCTAATACGTCCCATAGCGTACCTCTTCGGGTGTGGCTTCTGTGCCGTACTGCTCCCCCTTCCCCACCGCTTGCCGGACAGCCGACACAAAGAGAAGCACCTGGGGAACAAGCGGAGAGAGGGGCAGAGGCGGAGAGGACAAGTGGGAGCTGGGTTTCTGAAATTTCTCAATGACTGATCAATGACCGAACCATCATAGCAACTACAGTTGAGCAAGAACAAGCCCTGCCAAGGGACATCAGTACGTACTACCAAAGTGACGTCAGCATGCCCTACCAAGTCGACATCAGCGAGGTGGAGAGCTTAAAGGTGAGGTAGAGCCCGGCAGTGAGGGACGCAGTGAGTCTCAATGCCCTCAAAATATCACATTCCGTGCAAGAGCATATCCAATCGAGGGAGGTGGGCATACCCAATCAAGGGAGGTGGGTATACCCAATCAAGGGAGGTGGGCATACCCAATCAAGGGAGGTGGGCATACCCAATCAAGGGAGGTGGGCATACCCAATCAAGGGAGGTGGGCATACCCTGTCGAGTGCAGTGGAGAGCTTGAAGGTGAGGTAGAGCCCGGCAGTGAGGGACGCGGTAAGGCGGCCATACGCCTCGTCGTTGAGGAAGAAGCGGTACCACACGGGCGCCGGGACGAAGGCGCGGTAGAGCAAAGAGGTGTACTCTATGAGGGTTAGAACTTGAGCCTGGGGTGTGGTACGGGGAGAGGGGAGGGGGGGAAAGGGAGTGGTTGGGGGGACTTTGAGGGTTAGGATTTGAGCCTGGGGTGTGATATGGGGAAAGGGGAGGGGGAAAAAGGGAGTGGTTGGGGGGACTCTGAGGGTTAGGATTTGAGCCTGGGGTGTGATATGGGGAAAGGGGATGGGGGAAAAGGGAGTGGTTGGGGGGACTCTGAGGGTTAGGATTTGAGCCTGGGGTGTGATATGGGGAGAGGGAGGGGGGAAAAGGGAGTGGTTGGGGGGATTGTATGACGGTTAGGATTTGAGCCTGGGGTGTGAAACGGGGACGGGCGGGGGGGTGGGGGGCGGTGTTGGGGGGCGGCCATACGCCTCCTCGTTGAGGAAGGAACACGGGCGCGGGCACGTGGCTCAGTAGATCAGCGAGGTGTACTCGATTAACGTCAGTATTTGGGCCTGACGTGACATGGGGAGAGGGTGGGTGGGAGGGGAGAGGGCCCTAAACCCTTAGGGTCCTCCAGGCCGGGCTGCTAGGACTCACCTGTATGCGTGTACCCTTGCCATGCCTGTACCCTGCCTCTGACCGCCAGAGCCCCGATTCTGACCGCCAGAGCCCTGATTCTGACCGCCAGAGCCCTGACTCTAACCGCCAGAGCTCTGACTCTGTGCCTACAACTGTGCCTAGAGAGGTAGGGCTACATAGTGATCGATTGGTCGGAAACGGATTGTGGCATGGATTGGTGCGTGCACCATCACCCGCCGATTAGTACCAAAGCCACGGTCTGCCAAGAGTGTCTCTCGGCCTAGTCGCTCATACTGGATTTCAACAGTGGTCACTAGCTACTTGAGAAGCCCTTGCTACCTGCTGGCGGTTGTTGAGTCCCTTGCTGTGGCGGTGCGCAATGAGAATGGCGCACTTGACTGCCATTGCCATGAAGCGAACGAGGATGTCTGGTGAAAAGAAGTTGAAGGAGTGGAGGGGAGAGGGGAAGAGAGCGGGGAGGAAGCAGAGGGGGGGGGGGGGGGGGGGGGAGGGGGGGGGGAGAAGAGGTTAAGTAGAGTTGGCAGAATGGGCGTTGCCATGAGTGAGGAGTCTATTTTTGAGGCGCCTCAAAAATAGACTCCTCACGCAGAGGGGGGGGGGAGGGGGAGAAGAGGGTAGATAGAGTTGGCAGAATGGACATTGCCATGTAGTGGGTTAGGATGTGGCGACAAAGTGGTCGTGAGTTGCGGAGTTGTCTCACTAGAAAACAACGCCACGGATTTATACCAACATGTGTGAGTGTGTGAGGGAATGTAGGCAGCCAGGTACAGGAAGAATCTGGAGCCGTTAAAGAGGATGGGGCAAAAGGAGAGGGGAGAATTTATGGGGGAAATAGGGGAAGTGGTTCTGCACACAGATCCATTAGTAACACATTTTTACTAGTCATCAATCATGTTACCAGTGAAAACCTTTCATAAGGTTTTCAGACATGCTATTGTTGACTACATGATTGAATGCATTTTTTTATTTGCCTAAACCTTCTATGGATCAAAATGTAAAAAACGTGCAGATCTCCCACACGTACCATTTGTGACTATAATGAAGAGCGCGTGCCAGAAAGGGGGGACCTCAGCAGGAGGGATGAGCAAAAGCGGCCTCCATAGCTGCTCGGGCCAGAAGAGCCAATTGACAACTGCCACGTGTGCAAGCAGCAGCACAGCGGCGAGCGCCAGCAAGACAGGATTGCGTTCCGCCTAGCAGTAAAATTGAAGCGGAAGGGGAAGGGGAAGGGGAAGGGGAAGGGGAAGGGGAAGGGGAAGGGGAAGGGGAAGGGTATTGGGGCAGTGATGGGGAGGCGGAAGGGGGGAAGGGAGGGTGTTGCGGGGAGTGAAGGGGGAAGGGGAAGGGGAAGGGGAAGAGGAAGGGGAAGGGGATGTGTTGGCAGGACGCCTATCGGAGTGGACGGGTCACGGGTAGGGATGGTAATAGGGGGGTGATTGGGTTAGTGAGGGGCAACAGAGGCGGGCAAGGCAAGTCGTGTGGGGGAGGGTACACGACGAGAGGGGCTGCAGCATGGTGCTTATAGCGAAGGGGGTGGCGCCTACCTTGAGCGCGCCCTGCTTGCGGATGAAGTCGTTGGATTTGAACAGGGCCGCGGTGAGCCACACGACCGTGCAGAAACCTGTGGAAGGGAGGCGGACAAGTGTATATGAACGCAAGGAGACACATGAGCGTAAGGAGACACATGAGCGCAAGGACACACATGAGCGCAAGGACACACATGAGCGCAAGGAGACACATGAGCGCAAGGACACACATGAGCGCAAGGACACACATGAGCGCAAGGACACACATAAGCGCAAGGACACACATAAGCGTAAGGAGACACACAAGGCGAGGCATGTATAAGTGCGGAGGCTGTTGCTGCTTGTCCCCTTGCTTCGTTTCGAACTCATTGCACCAAGCCTGAGCTTCTGTAGCATTGCTGTGTCCTGCCTCCCAACTCACCGATCAGGCGCTGTCTGACTCACCGATCAGGTGCTGCCTGACTCACCAACCACCGGGTGCAACCTCACTCCCAGCTCACCGACGAGGTGCTGCCTGCCTCACCATCACGTGCTGCCTGCCTCACCGTCACGTGCTGCCTGCGTCGTCACTCACCGACGAGGTGCTGTCTGACTTGCACGAAGAGCAGCAGGAACACGAACGGCACAGCCTGCTCCAGACTCCTCGCCGCCAGGTGCATGTCCGACCCCCGCGTCACCGTCCCTCCCCCTCCCCCTCCTCTCCCCCTTCACCAGCACCACCACCATCACCACCATCAGCACCATCAGCACCATTGGCGGCAGCAGGGGAACCTGAGCCTGCATGCGGCCCTCCCTCCGCTGCCGTGGCTGGTCGCACTGCTCGCCCCCCCCCTCCTGCGCCGATGATCGCCATGGCTGCTGCTTCCCCCGCTGCGTCACTAGCTGCCTCTGCTGCTGACTCTACTGCCGCTGCCGCTGGTGCTGCTGCGCCTGCAGCTGCTGCGCCTGCCGCTGCTGCTCCTGCACCTGTTACTCCTGATGCTGTGCCTTCCGCCTCTGTTGCTGCGGCTCCTGTTCCTGCTCCTGCTCCCGTTGCTGCTTCTGGCGGTAAGTCAGCAGAACAGGCCGCTTCGCCACCAGTCATCCCCTCTCTCCACCGTTGCAATATAGCCCCTTGCCCGACGCCCCCTTGCGCCTCCCCGCTATCTCCCCGTCTCCCCTCCCTCGCTCTATCCATATCCACCCGTACCTCTCCCCCTCCCCTGCCCTCTTGCCTCTCGCCTCCCTCTGTCACGCTTCCCGGTAGTGACAATAGCGAAGGGGGGGACGGGAGCCCAGCGGCAGGGGCGGCGGGGGAAGCGGCGGAGAGCATCTGGGAGGGAGTCGGGGGGGAGGTGAGACTCCGGAGGGCGAACAGCTCGCCATTGGTTGAAGCAATCGCCACGTGGGGCGTCGTACGGGCGTCGTTGAATGGGTGGGGGAGTCTCGTACGGGCGGTAGCTTGACACGGAATCTCCGCTTGCGGAAGACACCTCCGCGGAATGTCCCCGTGGTCTTTCCCCTCCCTTTCCCCCTCCCCCTTCTGCTTCCCCGCAAGCTTCCCCGCGCTCTACCGCTTCCCCTCGTCTTTCCGCGAGTCCATCGTCAAAGGCTTCCGGACCCGCTGAAGACGAAGAGCGCTCGGCGCGCTGTCGCGTGACAGGGGCTAGTGTTTGAATCGACTCAAAAGCAGACGAGGAACGCTCGGCGCGCTCTCGCGCGACAGGGTCTAGCGCTGGCGGCGGGCAGCGGCGGCAAGTGCGGGGAGCGCAACCGCGTTACACTCGGCGGGCTCCTGTCCGGCATTTCCTGAACCGGAATCCGACAGGACGAGCGGGGATCTGCTGCTTATATCGGATCGACTGCTTGTAGCGGATTGGCTGGCGAGAAGAGGGGACTGGCCCGGGTTCCGGCGAGCAGGGGCAACGGGGGGATCTGAGCCGAAAAACGCGGAGGAGAGACCGAGGCTAAGCGCGGATAACGGCGGAGATCCCGAGACGTCGACTACCCGGTGGAAAAAATCCTGCTCCTCGTTCTCGGAGTCCGGAGTGTCTGACAGCTGACCATTCTCGTGCGTCTGCTGTCGTTGATATTGCTGACGCGGCTGCTGCTGCTGACGGCCAGGATGACCGTCGGATAGCCATTGCGGAAGCAGCTGATGGCGTTCCTGATTGGCTCGTTCGGGTGCTTGGTTACCGCGTCTGCCGGTGGCGCTGGGGACGTCGGTGCTGGTTGCGCGGAGGATTCTCGATAAGGCATCGATGGGGGAGAACCTAGACCCGAAAAACGTCAAGTGATTGCTGGTAGCGTTTTGCTGAGAAGAAGTGATGGGAATCCCAGGGGTTGTGATCCTGGGCCGACCCAGGTTAGATGGAACAGGCAGATTTCTGGTGCCATGGCTACCACTGCTACTACCGCTGCCACTACTGCTGCCACTCCTGCTGCCACTATTGAGCGGGTTCGCTTCGTCAGGGTCCACCATTAATGATGGATTTTGTAGTTTATGTAGGTGATAGTAATTGCTGCGACAGGGACCGAACCAGGAAGGCGAAATTTAAGAGGTACTACCTTACTGGACCAAGATTACGACGAACGAATCTACAAGGAAAGTGGCAAATTCCTGACTAGAACCACGGAAGCAGAATTCGCTCATGAAGTTCGTTCCCTGCACACACGAGACTCTAGAGACGCACGCGTCTACGATACGGGACGCTAACCGTGTACTCAGGAATTTCTTGTCTTAAGGGACGATGGTACGAATAGGCTGGCGGTTATTGGAGATTACTGGCGATTATTGGCGATTATTGGTTAGAAGAATCTGAAATAGCATTCGTCCTAACACACAATCTCCCAACGGTACATCTCAGCAGGCACATCTCAGCAGGCACTCGTCAAATGCAGGCACGCTTCTGCCGGTCGCCTGCTCTCAACTCAAGCTCACGGGTGGTAGTCTGGGGAAACTTGACGGAATGACGGCATGACGGACTGACAGATTGACGGAAAGAGACGCGAAGTCGAAGAAAACACGGCAACATCAAGGTCCTCCGCAATGGCGCAGCAGCACCCAGGGAAATACGCTCAACAAAGGGAGCCCGTCGCCCTTCCGCAGACAGCGCATCCCCCGGCGCAAGACAGCCCTTGGGGCCCATGATGGTTCTCCCTGTGCGCGTGAGGGGGACAAATGATCGCGCCTTTTCAAGAGCAGATCGTCGAGGGCGCCATTGGGTTCGGTGGGAAGCCCAGCCCACGTCAGAACCGAGCTGCTCTGACGAGTCACTGTTTGCGGAGCTGGAGTGGTCCGCCCGATGGCCCAGACCCTGTGCGGGCGCTGACTGGGATGGGGCATAGCGGGGAGATACCATTCCAACGCGTCCGCAGTGCGGCGGGAAAACTGCTGGAACGTGGGAAGTGATGGGCGGAGCGGAGGGTATTTTGTCCGTTGGTTCGGTGATCTGCGCGTAGGGGATCAGGCGCAAGCAAGGAGGCGCCTGACGACTGCGCGCACAGTGATGGTCGCCCGTTTTCGAAGCTAGCGGTTCGGCTCGGTGCGTTTGCTATTGGCTCTTCGTCTTCGCTGGCGCGACCAATTCATTCATTGGGTTGCACCAACTGGACGCAGGTATCCCGTTCGTAGCGAATTCGATTACGAGCAAAGTGAGAAGCATTTTCACAGCAAACCCAGAACGAAATATTTCCCGTGGTGTTTAAACAAGCACCACAAAAAAACATAGAGGTGAGAGGTCCTTCGAACTACTGACCATCCACCGCTTCTACTAGAATTCGTGAGACTTCACTTCAAAAGCAATCTCCTGAGAGGCTTGGCCACAAGTGTCTGTCTGCCGCAATGCTCATACGTCCATTTACCCTACACGTCCTCCAGCAAAAGACCCTAACGGGCTCAACTTTCCATTTTCTACTCCTGTGCAGCAACCTTGAGCGCAAGAGTGAGATCATCCAAGCTGGCCTTGGCATACAGCTGGTGCTTCACAATCTCCACCGAGTCCCTCGACGCCACGGTGCCCGTCGCCACATCCTCCTCATCCACCGTGTTAAATATCACAAACGCCGGCGACGTGAAAATCACCTCGCGCTCCGTCGGCTCATGCCTGTTAGAGAAGGTTCCCCATGCGCCGCCCCCACCACCAGCAGCAGACTTGCTGGCAGCAGGAGGGAGCGGGGGGGCACCAGAACTGCTGCTGCCGCTGCTGCTGCCAGGGGTGGTACTGCTGGCGCCAGAGCTGTCATTGCTGCTGCTGCCAGAGGGTTCCTTCTCTGCCATAGCTTGCCACGACCCGCCATTCGTCCGTCCGGCTGTCCGGCTCCTTTGATTGGCGGAATGGAAATGGAGTTGAGGAAAGAGGTGGGGGAGAGGGGGGGAGGGGGGATAATTGGGTGGTTAGGCAGATGCGGAAGCCTGATGGGGGCAGGCAGCACATCCGTGGCATTGAGGGCTCTCTCCGTGAGCAGCTTGACCACGAGGCATGAGCAGCCCTGCAGCCTCTTCCCATGCATGCGGTTTGCTTATGGGCCACATGCATACTATCGGTTCCTGGGATGCCTCAAGCGCCTACCGGTAGGTGCGGCAGCCGAATGGGGGCGGGCAGGAGGCGCACGGACGGCACATCCGTGGCGTTGAGCGCCCTCTCAGTGAGCAGCTTGACCACAAGGCGCGAGCAGCCTGAAGCCTCTTCCACAGCGAGGCCGCCACCATGACAGTGGCCTCCATGCGGGTAAAGGCTCTCAGCAGCACCTCCAGGTCCTCCCACGCTCGTCCGAGCAGCTGCCCGCACTCTCTGGTAGGGAAAGGGGAGGGGGAAAAGGGAAGGGGAGGGGGCGGGAGGAAGGGGGGGTTCGGAAGTTTACTGTATGGTGTCTGAAAGGACAAGAGGCCACCACCATGACAGTGGCCTCCATGCGCGTGAACGCCCTCAAGAGCACCTCCAGGTCCTCCACGCGCTCGTCGGAACAACTCCCCGCACTCCCTGGTGTGTGGGAAGGGTGGTGGGGGAAAAGGGTGACTGGAAGCACAAGGGGCCGTCCCCATGGCAGTCGCCTCTATGCCACGACGGGCGAATGCAGTTGTCTCCGCACCAGTTCACCACTCACATGGATGCCAGTATGCTCGCCAAGTGCTGCCTCTACTCTGCCACCAGCTCCAATCAGCACCGGTTCACCACTCGTACCTCACAGCACCCTCTCTGTACTCACACATCCAACCACACCCATCCCAACCGCCGCCCCCTCCCCCCCCCCACCACTCACGGTCATCCAGCCACTGCCACATGGAGGCCACCATGCCCGCCACGCGCTGCCTCTGCTCAGCCACCGGCTCCTCCGCGCCGCCTCCGCCCGCCCAGCAGCAGCACGGCGGACGAGAAGGCGTGGCC